CTGTTAAAGTGCTTTAAAAATGATATTGTCAATGCTCCAAAGGGGGTCTTAGCTGTCTGTCACGCACATTTCTTTATGTCTGCCTAATTTAAAGCCATCACTTCTCTTGTGGCATCTTCTTCCATGTTCGCACATTATAATTAATAGTGTGCATCTGTCAGCCCATGATGTGCACCATCACAGTGTGAAGTGGCCACAGGCTTCAGTTTCACAGTATGCAGCCAGTCATGTTTCTCTCTTGTGGAGGAATAAAGGTGCAGAGCTGCTTCTCACAGGACAGGCCACCCACCTCATCTGTAGCTCTGACTTCACTGCCCCTGGAAAGAATCTGTGCCCTTCACAACTGGAGATAAAGCCAAATGCTGTGAATTTTCAGTCTTTGTGGGAGTTGTTTACCTCTTTACCCCGGCCTTTGGCACCCGAGACATATATTTTTAGGACACACCTTTTTCTTTGTCATTTTTAATGTTGTCTTCTGAAGTGAAACTTTAAGTGAGACTGAAGTGAGACTTCTGAACTGAGACTTTAAGGTGAAGGGTGGGTAATAAATTATTATAATAATCACATTACCAAAAGAATGCAGTTATGGGTGCTTCATTCCATAAACCAAGGTCATGCAGATGCCAATCCCTACCTTCAATAGGTATAAGTATCATCTGTCAAAAAAATTACAAGCTGCCAAAGCAATGGTAATAGTAAAGATTATTATCAATTTTATCTAAAGGTAGGTGGTAATAAGAAGACAGGTAATTCATCCATGAAAATTCATCATAGAGTCAATGGGCTAGAAGGGACCCTGAGGATCATCTAGTCCAACCCCCTATAATGTAAGAATATGCAGCTGTCCCTTACAAGCAGTGCTTTTTTTCTTTAAAAATGTTTAGGGGTACGCGTACCCTTGCGTTCCCCCCCCAGAAAAAAAGCACTGCTTACGAGGATTGAACCTGCAACCTTGAGGTTATCAGCACCATGCCCTAATCAACTGAGCTATCCACAGTAAAAGTCACAGAAGTCAGAATAGCATGGAACTGACACACCACTGGCTTAGGGACCTTAACAACTTTACTTAGCACCATGTCCATTCAGGGATATTAACAATTTTGTGATCATTAAGTGTGTGAAAACCTACCTTTTTTAAAAAAAAGAAGGAAGAAGCCAGGCCTAGCAAGCAGCTATTAATGAATGGAAGAATATGCCTAGTGATCTGCTTGGTTTAGTGAAACAGAAAATAACTTGATTTTCACAGCTAGATTAAGAGTACAGCCCTGAAAGCAGAAGTGAATACGGAAGCAACAAAGGAGCCATAGAAAAAAGACCAATTATTTGATGCTCAATTGCTCAAATTTCTTTCTGCAAAGTACAATGTATGCTATTTATCTTATGAGTATGATTCACATGACACTTGTTGCAGCCAGGTATGCTAATGGCCCTTTCTGCTTACAAGACTTTGAGATACTGTCTCTGAATTAGATCTATAGCTAGAACAAAAAGGCAGACGATCAATATGTATTTATTTTTAGAGACATCGTTGAATCTCACAGCTTTGTATTTTATCACTTGAGAAAGGCTATCTTAACTGATTTTGAAAGAAAGAGGTTTTTTTAAAAAAAAAAACTTTAGAAAGCCAATTGCTTCCTTAGGAACTATGTAATAGTTATTTATTTATGGTGTATTTATTTGTTTTATTGTTATTTCATCCTTCCTTCAGGACAGAATACATGGCTCTCCCCCTTTATCCTGACAACCACCCTGTGACTTGGGCTAACCTGAGAGAAAGTGCTTCACCCTGTTCCATGGATGAGTGGTGACTTGTGCTCAGGTTTCACTGATTCTAGTCTGGCAAATGCTGAGGGGGTGGGGAGAAGCAGCAGCAAGGTGCTTGAGGACAAAACTGTGTATGCTGTGCACTAAGCCCTTGCAGTCCCTAAGCCAACCTGCTGCCCTCAGGTACAGCGCTGGAGTACAATTCACCTGCCAGGTCAGTTGGCTTCTGTATGTGGAAGCTGGGAACATCATTTTGTCCTCCACCTCAGGAAGCAAAACATCTTGTGCCAGCCCAGTTGACCACTGTGTGAATCACAGGAACAAACTCCTAGGGGCTGCGTGGGCTTCATCCCCCCCCTTAAATATTTGAGGGGGCCGCGGGCCCCACAGTTGATGGGCATTGCCACTCAAATCTTGTGTGTGCACTGCGCCATGTGATTGATTATGTGGGGTGGATCTTACCTGAGCGCCCCCTCCCATATTTTATTCAAGTTGGCCCCCTGGTGTAAATCAAATGGAAAATCATTCTCAAGTTACAGCCAATGCAATGGTATGTATGTATGAATCCTCAAATGTAAGTACCCTGGAGCTCAATGGTGCTCTTTCTTCTAGCTAATCAGGATGAGACTGCATAGTGTTTAGAGCAAGAGATGAAGATGCAATAATGGGAATGTGGATGGAACATGCTGGAGCTATAATGAGGTCAAAGGTGGTCATGTCCCAAAGTTAAATGTTTTTGCGATCATAAGAAAAACATTGAGTTTGATCCAACTTTGATATAACAAAGACTTTGATTTGTTTCTTTAAGGGCTGCAAAATAGGTTGCAGGTTGAAACCTCCTGAAGTTTCAGAGATGGTTGAGAAAACTGGGTTTTAATGTACAGTGGTACCTTGGTTCTCATACTTAATCCGTTCTGGAAGTCTGTTCCAAAACCAAAGCGTTCCAAAACCAAGGCACGCTTTCCCATAGAAAGTAATGCAAAATGGATTAATCCGTTCCAGACTTTGAAAAACAACCCCTAAAACAGCAATTTAACATGAATTTTACTATCTAACGAGACCATTGAACCATAAAATGAAAGCAATAAACAATGTACTGCAGTCACACAATCAATCAATCAATCAATCAGTAGGTGAATTGGGTTCCGCACAGTCACAAAAACGCAAAATAGCAAAAACAGACAGACCTCAGTGTAACACTCAAAATGGAAGTGTGGCACTCAAATAGGAAACGTAACATTCAAAATGGATGTGTAACATGCAAAACAGAAGTGTGGCACTCAAAACAGAGCATGTTCAGCTTCCGAAAAAAGTTCGCATACCAGAAAACTTTTACTTTCGGGTTTGCAGTGTTTGGGTTCCAAGTTGTTTGAGTACCAAGGAGTTTGAGAACCAAGGTACGACTGTATTAGGTTGCTGGTAGGAATGGTTTAAATGTGTGAATTTTACCAGAAGTGTTGAAAAATATGTGAACTATGAATGATGGAGAGTACTGATGATTGATTATGGATAAGGTGCCAGGTGAAAACATTTCTATATAACCAGGTCTTTGGCTGATTAAACATCCTATGTATGGCCTTTTAAATGTGTTTGTGGTAGAGTGGTTATTTTGTATTTTGTGTTCTCATCTTCTATTTTTATGTTGTGGACCGCCCTGTGATCTTCGGATGAATTATTATGGTATACAAATTTAATCAATAAGTTGGCTCTCTTTTCTCTCTCTTTTCCTTCTGGGTGGTTTCGTTGTGTATGTAAAGCTCTGTGTTCACTTACAATAGATAAAATTGAATAAAACATCAAATAAAATCCCACAGTAACCACACCTGACCAACTTATTTAGGCTTCATAAACACTTTGGGAAAACATTACTGTGATTTTTAGAACAAAGTTGTCCCCCATTCCTCAAAACAGTGGCAATTCTTTTGCTCCACAGCCTGCAGCAAATCGATGTATCTTCAGTGAAGACTCCCTGCATCTCCCTTGCAGTCTCCTAAATCAGCTCCTTGTGTTTAAAAGGAAAATAAAAACTTTTTTTCTGGGGTAGGCTGTATGCTACACAAGTCCTAAAAGAGCACATTCCTCTCAAAAATGAAGGCAGTAAATAAGGCCTATTCCCCCTTACAATCTTAAAAAGACCCTACAAGATTACTCTTCAGAATCTAAAATAAGGCAGTCGATATGTGGGCAGAGGAAGAGGGTCCTGCTCTAGAAGACCTCCAGTGAATCCAGAAGTTTTATTTTCTGCATCAGGAAGCTCATAATTTATACTGAAGAGGCAGGAGACCTTTCAAAAGTGGTATCAACACTCTTGAAGCTTTCCCCCCTCGGGGCTCTCATTTCTCTTGCTCTCTCATTTTGCCTCCTTGTTTTTTTTGAAAAGTTGCTTCCACAGCAAGGCCCTTTATCATGGCTGAGGGGCTGCTTTTCCATGATCAGCTGGAAGTGGAATTAAAACAACAGTGTGTCTACACACACATACACCACTTTGAATTGAACTGAAGAGCATTTCAGAACTGTTTAACATATTATAATCTGAGTGGCGAACAAAAATTCAATGTAAAAATAATAAAATGGTATTGTAAAAACAGATTTAAAAAAGAGGAATTCAGGAATAACAGGGTCTAGACTCACAGACCTGGAAAAGCCTGGGCAATAAGATAAAAACTTACAAAATGTCTGCAACAATAGATGGATGACTTTTAAATATACAGGCGTATCCCCACTTGCATAAGATCAGGGCACATGCTCCCAATGACACGAAAACAGTGCCAAAAGGGGGCAGGGCAGGGCCAGAATGGGTGTAGAATGGGACAGAGCGGGGGTGGAACAGGGGAGTCCCACTTGCACGCATCCTGGAATGGCACCCCCATGTAAGTGGGGTTTCCCCTGTTTATAATTTTATCCTATCCTTCATCAAAGAAGTCAAAGGCGTGCAGGGCAATAAACAACAAAAACTAATTTTGATCTATCTCCTGGCACACTGCAAAGCCTCAAGGCAGATTACAACAGTTAAATACAAGCCATGAATAAAAATAACAATTAGAAAACCATAAAAGCAGAAATAATAATAAATAATAATAATAATATACCCATAAACCTCACAAGAACAAAGACAGTTAAAAGTATCATTGTTGTATAAACTTTTGTTAAATGCTACTTTTATCTCAAGCCAAAATCATTGGTCCTGGTGGGAACACAATTGGGGAGTTCAGATAGGAGAAAAGGCTTGGGAAAAGGTTCACTATAGATCTCTTTCAGCTCAAATCAGGGAATTCTCTCTGCACCGTGAAATTAAGGGAAGTGTGAATATCAAAGAGTGGCTGTATTTAGGTTCACATATTATTTTGGAAAATGTAGACTCAGTAGGTTTTGCCTTTAAATGCAAACTGAAATGAATTCCTCTGCCATCCCTTATTATAGATAATGGGGATGGATAATTCTTTGGTCTCTCTTTTCACTTCTTTGCTTGCTGTACGATCCGTTAGCCTTTGTGCTGTTTAGAGGAAATGGAGAATAATATTCAGTCACTGGGAAAGCACAGCAGCTCTTTTGCTTCCTGTTGTAAAACAGCAAAAGTAGTCTTGTCTCTATTTTAACATGAATAGAAGAAAAATAGCCTTGCTAATCCCCATTTATCAAGGAAGACTGAAGGGCAATCAGTGAACAAGCTTTGGGATAGCCTTTCCATACTGTATTTTTTTGTCTATATTGCAAGTGGTATAATTACAAAAATTGGTGTGGGCACACACACACACACATACACACACATTTGCATTATTGTCACAGTTAGGAAATATTTCAAGCCATCAGAAAAGACACTTGCAGCTCTTTACTGGGGAGATTATTGCAATTCTTAGTTTTAGTTTCAATTTAGGTCCACTTTTCAGAGATTCCCCATCACTGCCTTCAGATCACCTGCTGCTATGGAGCCATGTAGCTGCTATAGAATAAACAACAGCAACAAAATCTAAATAACTTTCAGCAACTACAATATAGCTATCCATTCTGACCTGGAAGGTCACTTACTGATTCATTTGCTTTTAAAATAAAAATCGATTTTCACTTTCCATGATAAAACAATCCCAAAACAGGGTACAGTACCAATAAAACTCAATGAAATCAAAGTCGCCCAACATATAAACTATGAAAAACTGATGTCGGTACATACACAACCAAACAACTATTTACAAAGTGCAACAACACAGATTCAACCGGAAGCCTGAGTGAGTAAGAAGCTGTTTGCACAGCACCCTACACTTGTAAGACTTGCCGCCAACTGTAGAGAGAGATTTGTCCACAAACACGGTGCATGTATCAAGAACGTTTCTTGAGTTACCACATATCAAATTCCTGGGAAATGTGGCATTGCCATCAATAAGGCAACTCTGTTAGATCTTTAAATCCCAACTGGTATCTAACAGAGAAAGTGTTTAATTCTGGATCCATCCCATTTACTTTAGAGGAACTATTATTGAGCAACCAGGATAAGTCTGTCAAAAGCCACTTGAGGCACAGAGTCAGTATTGCTAGGAATACCAGTTGCTGGGGACCACAAGTAAGAGAGTGTTATTGTGCCCATGTCCTACTTGCGTACTTCCCAGAGGGCATCTGATCCCACAGGATGTTGGACTTGATTGTCCCTTTGTTTGATCCAGCAGCATGGGCATAGTCAAAGGAGGCAGGGAGGGGCAGCTGCCCTCCACCTAATCAATAAAAATACCTAACTAGCTGAGGTTCTGCCTCCTCCCAACAAAAATCCTGGCTAGGCCCATGTCCAGCAGCCCTGTTTTGTCCCTGTGTTGTGTGGTCTTGGCTAAAAGATTCCAGTTCAAACGGACCTAGGTGTGTCTTGTCTCCTTTGTCTCTTGCCTGGTTCTCATCAAGCAATGAAATATGCCTTGTTGTGGAATGCATTCCTGAATACAACACTTAAAACAATTACATCTACAATTATTAAAGTAATTCAAATGAATAGCTACTTTGTAATGTAATTATTTGCTACAAATGAACATAAATGATTTCAATATATTAAACATTTGTTCGAGCAGCTGTTGAAATCTGTCTTCATTAAAAGTGCCTGTGGGCTAGGCAAACCCATGGCAGATGCCTATTTATCAACACACCCCACTTTATAATTCTGAGTTTTAATTTCTTTCACCGGTGCCAATTCTTCGTTTTCTTCCCTCAGCCCTATACTAGGTACTAGAGGCAGACATGTTGATTCAGAAGTCTACTGCATTCTTTAAAGAGCTGTACATATGATGTAACTACGCTGGGATGACTGTATTCATTTGAATGGAACCATTGCAGAGTGCATGGCTTATATAGCCTCTAAATGCAAAAACTTACCTGTGGGCCGAAATAAGAACAAGCTGCAGAAAATGTAGATGTATGCTTAGTTTTTAAGAATATTTTAATTGAGAAATATGGTGGTTTATTTGACAATTTGGCAGCTCAAGGGGAATCAGAAATGGGGCAGGGATTAGTTGGAACATGGAAGCAGAAACACAAGACTGTTGAAAGGAGCAGCAGGGAGTGGAAAATATTGACATTATTCCCATGAGTTAATGGTCCATAACCCTTCCGGAGTTTAGATTTTCATACTTTTTGACAGTAACAGACAGATTTTGCCACACCAGGGGTGCAGAACCTGTGTCCCTCCTCTAAATTTGGACTCTAAATGCCATCAGTCCCAGCCAACATGGCCATTGGTTAGACATGATGCGAACTGTAGTCCAGCAACATCTGAAGGAACACAGATTTCCCATCCCTTTGCTACAAGTCCACTTACCTTATTTGGTGGGTGGCATTGTGGCTGGGCCCCATGGTGGTCTGGCCAGGGGATGGAGACTTGCGCCCTCCTCGCTACCGCTTGCCCATGCCAGTGGCACTGGGCAGGGCCCCACTGACCAATCAGCGCTGACAGGGGGTGTGACCACAGGGAATTTAAACCACGGCGCAGCGGGGAGACTGTCCTCTCAGGCCGTTTGCTGGATCCCCCACCCACCGGCCCTCTTTTTCGGCTTTGCTGCAATACAACCTTGCTATGGACAAATGTTTGGGATGGGGCGAAAATTCTTCCACTTGGCAACTGGCTCCAGCCATTTGGTTTTCGCCTACCTCATAAGAATCACCACAACTTTGAAAGATAGTCTGGCTTTACCAGATGCCTAAGCCAAACTGCTTGCCTTTGTAACCAATAAAGTATTTGAATCCATAAATCAAAATTCGCTTCTTCGTGTGTTTTATTTATCCACTGGGGAACTGCGGATCATGGGGCCTTGGCACGCAAGAACAGATTCAACACTGACAAGCATTAACTAGGGCTGTGGAGGTTCCTAGAACCATTTCCTTTACAGAATATTTTTTGTGCAGAGGAGGAACAAGTTCTTTTGGCAGAAACCCTGTTGTGTTAAGTAGCATTTTAATAGGTAAATAATGGTTATTATGGTACAGGAATGAAAAGAAGGAATCTCTAAAGACTTTGGCTTGGGGGAGAAGAGATACAGGGGCCATTAAATGTCTCTGTATAATCTAAGTAACAACTCATTTAAATATTATGTCTTAGCTGCGTGCTGCTTCTTTTATGTTGTTTAACTTTACACCCTCTATATTCATGCAGATGTAAATTTGGCATCTGGATGGAGCTAAGGAAACATAAAAGTATCAAACCACATCTAATTCCCATCCGTCCAGGTTTATGCTATAAATAAATTATGCCGCAGACCTCTAAGAGAGGGAGGATGAACAGCCTGCATCAATGCATAAAGAAGTAGCTTGTAAGAATTGAGTGCAATGTGTAAATATTAGCTTCTTTTCTAAATGCAAAAATGTCTAAAGGATGTCCAGAAATTCATCAACTTTGAGGGCAGGCCACTTGCACATATATTTATCAGCATTTAGATATTTGTGGAAATGCTGGTTCAGCCAAAAACCTCACAACTTCTTTCAAGTCATCAGACTTAGTATATCTGTTAGCATTTCCACGGAAGGAGGAACTAAAGTCAATAGCAAAGGTTGGAGCAATGATTCCCGGGCAAGAGCACATTCCTTTTCGTAAAAATCCAACTATCTGTGTCCAAATTAATTAGAAGGTGTTGCAGTGGGCAGGCTAATAGTTTTGGATTCTTCTCCTTGGAGCCTAGTTAGGTTGTCACCTGTCAGTGAATGGTAGCAATTCAAGTGGACTGAAAGGGCAATTCACCTTTCTTTATGGAATTACATGGAATTTACTGGGAAAGCAAAGCACTAAGTACATTTGATTGTGTGACTCCCCAGGAGTGGCTCACTGCAACAGGTTGGTTTTCCCTGAGCTGCAAAGTGATTTTGAGGATTACCTGATGTTGTAGCAGAGCCAACACTGTCTGTGCTTGAAGGAGTTGTGTGTATGTTTAGCCTGGAAAAAGAGGAGACAGAGGAGATATGATAACCATCTTCAAATATCTAAAGGGCTGTCACATGGAAGATGGCTTCAAATTAGAAGAAAAGATTTAAACTAAACATCAGGAATAACTTTCTGACAGTAAGAGCTATTTCACAGTGGAATGGTCTCTTGGGTCCTGGTTGCTTCAGCTGTGGATCATCTTGGCTCAGACTGGATCTTCTTTATGGCTTCCCAAAGGCATCTGAATGGCCACTGTGAGAACAGAATGATGGACTAAATGGGTCATTGGCTTGATCCAGCAGGCCCTTCTTATGTTCTGAACTAGCTAAGTCTCATTCTGATCTAGGGTGGGTGGTTCTGGGATAAAAAGAGGTGTAGAATTTCACCAACAGTGAGGCTTTAATTGCTAGTTATTGTTGCATTCCGGAGGTTATTTTGTTACAGCATTTGGGAATGGTACAATGTGCCTTTGCAATATTAATGTTTTAATGGATTGTTTTATAGGATACTTTAATCTGTATTTTAACAATGCAGTTCAATTGGTTTCATGATTTGCAAACCACTTAGAAGAACATTAAGTGGTAGATGAATAAATAATACTGATATGGATAAAAATCTGAAGAAATAAATACATAGATTGTATATTACTACTAGGGCTGTGCACCAGATCCAACCAAATCTCAGAACCTGAACTGAATTGGGCCAATTTGCTTAGATTGGGTTGAGGCAGCCTTGGATCACTTCAGGTTGTATTGGGTCAACCCAGGGCTGTCAAAGAGGGTTAAATCCTGATTAAACATGTGGTCAGAGGAGAAGAATAAGGGTTTTAAACCCTGATTAAACATATGATTGGAAGCAAGAAAGGGAGAGGCACATGCCATGACTGTACAAGGCTCTAAATAAATTTTGGACTCTGCCCAGACCATCCAGGTTGGATTGGAGCCACTACAAATCGCCATATTTACTCCTGAATTGGATTACATAGATCTTATAAGATAAGCTGCTGGCTGTGAATGCCCTCTCACAATAAAGCATTTAGTCCAAGGATGTGGAATCTCAGGCCCAGGGATGGAATGAGGCTTCCAGGCCTGTCTACCTTGTCCTTGGGGCTCTCCACATACCACACCCCTACCTCCCCACCACCTGCTTCACACCTTGAGTGTTTTTGCCTTGCTAGACAGTGTCTGTGGACTCTCTGATAATGCCTCTTGCTTGTCTGGATGGGAGAGGAGTGTGAGAGTTGTTAGGAGACCCCTATTCCCCTCATGGAGCAGCCATTTCCAGAGTGGCCAGACAACCAATCCCTCTTCCCAGGGAACTCTGGAAAAGAAGCTCTGTGAGGGGAATAAGGATCTCCTAAAAATGGGATGCAGGTGGCGCTAGGGAAGCGGGTGGTGCTGTGGTCTAAACCACAGAGCCTAGGGCTTGCCGATCAGAAGGTCGGTGGTTCGAATCCCTGCGACGGGGTGAGCTCCCGTTGCTCGGTCCCTGCTCCTGCCAACCTAGCAGTTCGAAAACACGTCAAAGTGCAAGTAGATAAATAGGTACCGCTCAGGTGGGAAGGTAAACGGCGTTTCCGTGTGCTGCTCTGTTTTGCCAGAAGCGGCTTAGTCATGCTGGCCACATGACCCGGAAGCTGTACGCTGGCTCCCTCGGCCAATAAAGCGAGATGAGCGCCGCAACCCCAGAGTCGGCCACGAATGGACCTAATGGTCAGGGGTACCTTTACTTTTACCTTTTAACAACTCTCAGCACCTTTAGCAAATTACAGTCCCCAGGATTCTTTGGGGAAAGTGGTATGATACTACTTTAAATGTATAGTGCAGATGTGGCCTTACCCATGCTCTTCCCCCACCCAGCCACCTCCCACTTCACTGTGTTTGTTTGCTATGGAAGTCTCCTCCATTGAGCATGCTGTCACAGCTCTGATTTTAAGTGCTGGTAAAAGGTCACTGAAATAAGTCCACCCATAACCAAGCGAGCTAAAGGATATAGCCATTAAAACCAATCATCAAATCACTCCTAGTCCACCCCTGACCCAGCAAGGGGAGCTACTGATTTATAGTCGTTTCTGAAATGCTGTGTTATTTTGTGATAGGTGTGTATATCATGTTTTTGCTAGTTGTTCCTCCGATGTCAGCAATCCACTTGCAAATCTCACTTTCCAAAGGTTTATTACCTCCTCATAAAAATATTCTTTATGCCACAATGAAATTTGGCAGCCGTGCTAGTGAATTGTATAATTTCTTTTTCAGAATAAACAATTATACAGCCAAGCATTCAGATGAAGCCGATTTCTGACACAGACCAATTTCTTTTATCCATTAAATTCAAAGGCAAACTCTTTAGTGTATGGGAGCATGTGTGCAGTTATCAAACTGTAGCATTCAAAAAAGGATGCCATTGTTCAAGCTGTTTGTTTTTGCTTTATGAGAAAGGATGGTAGTGGTTGTCAAATCATTTTTATAGTATAATAGCAATGTCTAGCCTCACTTGTGTTTAAGTGTGGACTGAAGGTCGGCAGGTACAAATTTTCAGAAACTACTAAAATGACATCTTTTGCCTAATTATTAAAACCTAAAGCAGAGGAGGGCAAGCTTTTTCTGTTGAGAGCTACATTCCCACAAGGATAATTGGGGGGCTGTATACCAGCGATAGGGGACGCGGGTGGCACTGTGGGTTAAACCACAGACCCTAGGGCTTGCTGATCAGAAGGTCAGCGGTTCGAATCCCCGTGACGGGGTGAGCTCCCATTGCTCGGTCCCTGCTCCTGCCAACCTAGCAGTTCGAAAGCACGTCAAAGTGCAAGTAGATAAATAGGTACCGCTCCGGCGGGAAGGTAAACGGCGTTTCCGTGCGCTGCTCTGGTTCACCACATGACCCGGAAGCTGTACGCCGGCTTCCTCGGCCAGTAAAGCGAGATGAGCGCCGCAACCCCAGAGTCGTCTGCGACTAGACCTAATGGTCAGTGGTCCCCAGTGATGGGTGGCAATGGAACCAAAAGCAAGGGGGACCAGAGGTGGGTGGGAGGGGTCACCTCTATTTCGCTCTTTTTGCCATTCCCCTCTCTTTCCTACCCCTTCTTCTCACCCTTTCCCCTTTTTGTTGTCCCACATGAAGCTCGGCCCTTGTGACCTAAGATATAGGAGCTATATTGCTGAAAGACTGACCATTCCTGTAGAACAGCAGCTGCTCCTTTGTGTTCCTCAGGATTCAGAGAGACTCAAAAGAGTGATAGTGACGCTGGAAGATATAGCAGAGAACTCACATAGTAAGGGGATCCCAACGGAATCTGCATGTAGCCGATTGTAAACCATGTTTGCCACACAACCATTCATTTAATCATGGTGTCAAATCTAGAAATGAGGGGAAGACTTGGAAAGGGAATTTCACCAGTCTGAGCCCCCTCTGAATCAGTCCTATTTCCCTCAGAAGTTTGGCTCATAGGTGCTCAATTCTCTGCTACCACTCCTCCCAGCCACTAGTTCTGCCTGCACCTTTCCAAATTCAAACCTTATTGAGGGAAGAAGCTTTGCAAGTAGCCTAACTTTCAGGCTTAAGGACTATGAGGAATGGAGCTCCAAAGGTTTCCTCAAGCGTGAGCAGCAGTATCCACTGATACTGCTTCCCAGTGCCAACTGGCTATGGCTATGCTTGCTTGTGATGGCATACAGTAATGCCTAGGGTTGCTGAGAGACTTCCTGGACAGCAGTCCCCTTCAATAATGTGGTGTACTTGTTAAGAGTGCCAGACTGGAGACCAGCGTTCAAATCCCCACTGGGTAACATCCAACTAATCACTGTCTCTCAGCCTAATTAACATCACAGGGGAGAACCATTATTTGTGTGCCACCTTGGGCTCCTTGGAGGGAAGGTGTGATCTAAATGTAATTATTAAATTAATAATAATAATAATAATAATAATAATAATAATAATAATAAACAAGGCAAGCTGGAAAAGGTGAGGCAGCAGTGGAGAGGGCTGACTTGGTGTGGATTGGTGGCAATGAGGTGATGTGGCTCTAGCTTCAGATAAAAATACATAATAAAAAGACCCAAAATATGAAAACAATACCGTAATGAACTCTAAGAACATCAGGAAAGCTCTGAGAATGCCTCCCAGAGAGAAAGAGAATAAATACCACTTTCATTAAACATAATCTATTGTAGCTGTGAGTATGCTTTCTCATGTGACTAATCCTTAATTATCATAAACAGATGTTAAAGCAACATAGATAATCCAAGTTTGCTGTTGAGTCCATTAAGACTCAGTGTGAAAATCCAAAATGTCTAACGTATCTCTAATGTTCGACTTGGATCTTGCCCTTTATACAGAGGCATGTGTGTCTGTTCTATAGATAAGTAAATAAATAAGCACCTCAGCAGTAGGTTTACATTCTGCAAAATGTGAAGTCTGTGGATGTTCCAAAGCATCGGTATGAATTTTACTCTTTACTGTACACCAGTAAATGTTGCTAAAGGTCTTCTGGCTTGTCCTACATACTTTGTGCCCTTGCTGCTTACCATAACAAATGCACTGTTATGATGTCAGCCTGTGCCAAAGTCTGCACTGATTGACTCAATCCACATCTTCAACTCACCAGTTTGGATGTTCCTAAAGTTGAGATTGAATCAAAATCTCAAAGGAATTCAATTCTTAACCTGGCAGAATCTCTCCTTTCATTTTTTTACTATTACCCCACTTCAGGAAACAGGCCACCTTGCAATGACAATTATTTTACTAACCTATGTCTCCCAGGAGCCTGCCTTGTCTAGACTTTCCTATTTTCCACAGCTCTGTAAGTGAAGACTAGTCCATTAAAAGCATTCAATTTACAACTGTAACACTCAAATTTGGCATTTTGGTGACATATTGGACAAGTCATCTAGGGATGACAAATTAATTTCACTTTAAAATCCAAGCAGAATGGTCCTGAATTAGTGCTTCTATGCATTACTTTATCCAGCACCATTGACTTGTGAATCTATATGCATGGAGTTATAATATACAATATATAGTAATAGATTTTAATTGCATTGGGCCGTGGTGAAAATTGGATTGCTGGCAGATCATCACTGCTGACCTTGTGTAGCTGTGCAGGAGAATGCTAATGCAAGGCTTGCTCATTCAGCAGATCAACAACATGGAGGTTGTATCAAATATCATGAAGCCAGATCAAAATCACATTCTGTGTCCGAATGGCCTTTGTGAGGAACAAAGCCATGTAAATGAAAGCAACTTCTTAGTTTCTTCTTTTTCCTGGTCATGCAGGGCTTTTAGCACATTATGCATTATTCCCCTGTTGTTGTGGATGCATTTTCAAAACCAGCTCTCCCCTCACCCCACTACCATAGGAGAAAGTTGCCAACAGGAAGTTAACAAGAGAGCAAGAATATAGTCTCTTTCCCCTACCCTGGGACAAGAGGAATGGCCTGTAAAATATGAGCACAACCTCTGGGTTCAACAGGGCATTGAATTCCAGCTGCTGGGGATAAAGCAGTAAGGAAGGGCAAGGACACTGCTTTCGTTCAGACCACAAAACAACTCAGGCTGTAAACCTATGAACACTGACCCCACTGGGCGCAATGGGACTTGCTCCTAAGCATGCATAAGATCAAGGCAGTGAATATAATTGTGGACTAGTGACTACCCAATTTAAGAATAATGTCTTCAAACTCAAAATCCCCTGGAAGCTGGCATTACCTATAGTGGAATTCTTTGCACAACTGAGCACTCACAAGTTGTACATTTTCTGGCCACACTTACATGTTACCACTGGGCACCTCTAAGGAACTATGTGCTCCACCCACCTCTATGTGGCATGGTTTTGCTATGGTTAAAGTGGCAATTTATTGCTACAGGTTTCTTGACGTTGAAACACATAGTGGAAATATAGAATTACTTGAAGTGCTCTGTTTCTCTGGCACAACACAACACATGCACACACGGTCTTTTAGCAGTAAGGAAAGTAAAGGGGAAATGCATTGAAGAGTGTAGGTAAAGGTAAAGGTACCCCTGCCCGTACGGGCCAGTCGTGACCGACTCTAGGGTTGTGCGCTCATCTCACTCAAGAGGCCGGGAGCTGTCGCCGTCCGAAGACACTTCCGGGTCACGTGGCTAGCGTGACGAAGCTGCTCTGGCAAGGCAGCACCAGTGCCGCACACGGAAACGCCGTTTACCTTCCCGCTATAAAGCGGTACCTATTTATCTACTTGCACTTAGGGGTGCTTTCGAACTGCTAGGTGGGCAGGAGCTGGGACCGAAGGACGGGAGCTCTGTGAGGAGAATCAGAACTTACAGGGTTAAACAGTTCTGTGTGACGTCTCACATTCTGAGGCGTGGTTTGGTTCACATACGGGAATCTTTCTTTGTGTGTGAGTTACTTTCGTTTTTGGCTGAGAGACGAAAGGATGCCTGCTCTCTTGCCGGGACTGATTTATGATGTTTTTCTACTCATTAAAGGCTGTTAGAGATTAGCAAGAAGCCTGCGTTCAGTCTGATTTATTATCCACACACAAGGCAACATTTTCTGCCGCTGCGGGACTCTGCTAAGAGCTGCAAAGAGAGCTCAAGCTTTTTCTATCGGCACAGGCGTCCATCGGCCCAGGGGAAGTGTGCCAGGCGCCATCTTATCTCAGCAGGTTATGGAAGCTAGCCAAGCTTTGGAAGCTGTTGCCACGTCGTTCCTGTGTGTGTGGGAGAAGCCAGCTGGAGCTCCTGCCTAACGTTTGAGGCAGCGAAGCTTGCTGGGGAGGATCTTATCTTCAGGACCGGGTGCCAAGAGGAGCTGCTGGTTACGTGAGTAGACTCAGCCCCGGGGGAGAAGATGGCAGATGGACAGGAGTCATACTCAGTCCCCTTTGAAAAATTGAATGGGAGCAACTGGGAAGAGTGGTCTAGGAAGCTGAAGGCCTGGCTGGTAGCCAAGGGTCTGTGGGAGGCGACCCAAGGGCCCCCACAGCAAGCTCCAGCTGGAGCTGCAGCAGCGGTTGTTGCAGCTGCCCATGCCTCACAGAGGAAAGCCCAGAAAGCCCTAGGGGCTATAGTGCTCAGTTTGGAGGGCTCACAGCTACCTTTGGTGGAGGGTCCAGGAGGTCTACCTGGCACTAGAGAGAGTGCACCACAGGACCACAGCTGGGGCAAAGATCCACACCACCAGAAGCTTGTTTGAGCTGAAGCTGCGTCCTGGTGATAGCATCAGACAGCATGTGACTAAGATGCTCTCTGTTTTCAACAAGCTGAGACTGTTGCAAGTCAACTTTACTGCGAAATTGAAAGTTTATATTTTGCTCAGCTCTCTGGACAAAAGTTATGACAATTTGTGTCTAACTTTGGAATCTATGAATCCAGCGGATCTTACGCTCCAGTATGTGACTGGTCGTTTGTGTGATGAGGAAGAACGCCGTCTCAGAGAGGGCCAAGCTGGCTCAGGGTGCCCTGTCGGTAGCGGGGGGGGGGGGAGCCAGAAGGCACAGATCAGGCTTTTCCCACTCGTCGTTGTTTTGTCTGTGGGTCTGTTGACCACCTGCGTCGGTCCTGTCCGAGGAAAGCCAGAGAGGCCGGGCAGGATGTCTCCAAGGTCGCTTCCCATGGCAGTCAGCCAAGTCCTCGTGGCAGCCAGCCAGGTTTCCATGGCAGCCAGTCTAGGAGAGGAGGCCAGCATGGGAATGCAAAGGGAGGACGTGACAGAGGAAGTGAGAAGGATGGTTCTTCTTATCACCTAGCTGCCCCCATGGCAACGTTGAAGGACAACTCCAGTGAGGGCAGCATGCTGCGTTGGGTCATCGACTCAGGAGCCAGCAATCACCTGATGCCATCTTGTGGCGAAATGTGGAACTGCAGGGCTGTTTCAACTGGGAAAACAGTCACTCTTGCTGATGGCTCACAGAGACAATTTACCACTGTTGGCAATGTGTTTGTTTCTTTTTTACAGGCAGAGCTGGAAGTCTACGTTGTGCCAGGAATGAAGTGTTGTCTTTTATCTGTATCTGCTCTTGTAAAGGAGGGTTATAAGGTTTGCTTTGAAAATGATGTCTGTTCTATTTCCAGGGGTGGGAAACAACTGGTCAATGTTGCATGCCAGAACAACCTCTTGCATGCCAGAGACACCTCTGGAGGGTAAGGGGAACGCTGAGACAGCACAGGCGCAGTGTGCTAACGTTCCCACACATGATTCGTGTGCTCATTTGTGGCACAGGACAATGTCACATAGCTGTTGGAAATATATCCATAAGTTGCCAGAATGCACTGAAGGTTGCAAGATGAAAGCATGTGATAAATTCTTGGATTGTAGGGCATGCAAGAGGGCAAAGATAAAAAGGTGCAGTTATCCCAGATCGGAGAGGGTAACCACAAGGCCTTTTGAGCTAGTGCATACAGACCTTTGTGGACTCATGCCAGTGCCGAGTCTGGGCGGAGCCAGGTATGTGCTCACGCTGACAGATGATTTTTTGAGGAACAGCTGGATCTTCTCGCTGAAACAGAAAAGCGAGGCGGCGCAACTGATCAAAGACTGGGTTGCGGCGGTGGAACTACAGTTTTCCACCAAGGTGCAGAGCTTTCAGAGCAACCGAGGCGGAAAGTTCACTGGGTCTGCTCTGCAGAGTTTCTTCCGCCAGAAGGGAATAAATCACAGGTTGACGGTTGTTTTTTCTCCTCAGGAGAATGGCGTAGCGGAGCGCCGGAACAGAACGCTAGCAGAGGCAGCTGACGCTCTACTGTTTGAAGCTGGTTTGCCTCAGCGCTTTTTGGCCGAAGCTTGGAAAGCTGCCAGCTTCACGTTGAACAGGTCCTATAGCTCTGTTATAGGGGACACGCCCTATTTTCTGCTGCATGGCAAGAAGCCCAAGGTGCATTTCTTCCGTGTGTTTGGTTGCGAAGCTTGGGTGCTTGTGCCAAAGGCTCAACGCAAGAAAGGTGACCCGAGGTCCCGGAAAATGATCTTTTGTGGGTACGAGCAAGGGACAAAAGGGTGGAGGTTTGCCTATCCAGAAGGCGATCAATCCAGGATTCTAGTCAGCAGAAGTGCTGAGTTCTGTGAGCAGAGTGGGTGGTCAAGGATCCATGCGAATCCTGACGTTCTCTCAGAGAGTCTGTCTGATTCTGCTGAGGAGGGAGAGTTAGAAGCTGAACCTGTTGATGAGAATCAGGTCTCTGACCAGGGTCAAGAACCGGGAGGGGCATCTCCACAGGTTGTTAAAAGAGAGCCCAAAAGTGAGCCTTCGTCTCCCGTTAGTCAAGTGCAGAAGGCCAGAAGACGCAGTAAGTCAGAGGGGGAGTCTTCTGATAACAAGGACACACTTGCTGGCCCCAGTGGGTCAGAGGGAGCACCTGAGACAGTGCTCAGACGTTCCACACGCACTACAAAGGGAGTACCACCTGAGAGGTTTGAGGTCACCAGCGTGTGGGTTGGTTTAGCGCAGTGCGAACCTGAGAGTTTTGAGGAGGTTCAACAGTTGCCTGAAGCAGAAGCCAGGAAGTGGCAAGAGGCAATGGGAAAGGAGTTGAACTCAATGAGGTCCTTAGGTGTGTTCTAAGTTCTAAGAACTTCCGGGGTGGCGCCTCCGGAAAATGGCGGAATTCCCTTCGGACTGAAGGGAACCCGCTGCACGGAGGCTTGGGTCCTGCCGCTACGGCGCAGCGGGGACCCGCAAAAACCACAGGCGGAAGAAGCCTGTGGACGTGGGACTCGGCGGGCACCGAGAGCGCTCTCCCCTTGTACAGGAGCCCGGCAACGGGCTCCGGAGTGGGAGGTGCGTGGTGCTGTGAGTCGACTGCTTCCTCCGTGCAGCAAAGCCGCACTGCCGTTATCGGAGAGCGCTGCCTTTTTCCTGGACAATTTGGCATCTAAAATATCTATCCGTGAGTACCTGATCTTGGAAGAGTTGAACCACTTTTAAGACTGGTGAATAAACAAATAATATTGGACTTGAAATTGAACTTAATTGGGACTCGGAATGGGAAGGTCTAAACAGGAAGTCGCCTTCCGTTCTTTTGTTATGTGAAGAAAGCAAAGACAAAATATACTAAAGCTTGAAAATTAAATTCTAAGAGAACTAGAATTCAACATCTAAGATTTCTGAACCCCCTTTGACTGCAGGAGAAGAAGGGGGTTGTATTTGGACTTTTCAATCCTGCGGAAGTGAGTTTAAAATAAAGCAATTTTCCACCGCCCTGAACCAGGAGCGGGCTGTCAGAATTGACGTTCTGAAGTTTATCCAGCTCGACAGTTAGTTAAAAGAAGGGTAACATTTTGATTCTACTGTTGCCTCTTGAATTTGGAAGGGGGAATTTTGGATAAAGTGTTTCTGGAAAAAGAAAGATTGTTGCTGTTGCTTTTATTCCTTTAAAAAAAAAAAATTTCCATCTAGTGGAATTTAGTGAAATTGCAACGCAGAGAGATTAAAAGAGAAGGACTATTGGACTATTGTCGTGGGAAAGAATTTTCTTTGACCTTGAAGGACAATGCTAGTACAAAGGCTTGAACAATTGTTCCTGGAAGGTTTTTCAAAACTAAGTGCCCAGCTGGACCAGATGCGTCAGGAGACGACCTTGATGATGGAAGTTACCAGAGCACAGCAGCAAACAAATGAAATTCAGTTAAAGGCTATACAAGCATATGAACCTGCTGTAGTGACGGAGGCTTCAGAGATGGAGGGACCTTTGGACGGGCAAGATCAGCCTTTGAACTTGATAAATGAACTTGGGACAAACCAGATTCGGAAAGATGAAATGTGGTCAGATTTGGAAATGGGGGATGGATCGACCCCCTCCATATGGTTATTTGGACCTTCCGAGTCTGGTGATGGGCTATCAGAGGATTGGAGTAGCCGAAGTCTCCAAGCTTTGTGGAAATTTGAAGTGGTATTATTTGCTGTCTGGCTTGGGCAATGGGTTTGGGATGGACTTGCTGCAAAGGGTCAAAAGCATTTTCTTGCTGGAGCATCCACGACTGGAAAGGAATCATCAACAAGAGTGGCGAAAGGGGCAAGAAAGAGACTTGAGGGCCTCGGATACGAGACAACCAGGTTAAGGAGCCGGATTATCGAGGTTAAAAGGACTGACAATCCCGGGTCCAGGGGAGGGGAGGTTGGAAGCTGACTGGACTGAATTTGACTTATTATTTTTTCTTTTTATTTTTTAATATTGGGAATGCTTACAAATGTTTGAAGGATGTTGAATGAAATTACATGGCTTAAGTAAGGATTGGTAAATGATTCGTAAAAAGGTAATGATGCAAGAATTTGGTAAATATTGAATATAAGCTATGAGTTTTAAAGTTTTTATATGACAAGAGGGAAAATAGAATAAGGAAACGTAATGACAGATTGTTATGAAAAACAGAAAGGATTTGCTGTAAAAATTAAAAATTAAGAAACAAAAGAGGGGAGGAGGAGGAAGTCTAGAAAGGAAGTCAATAGAGATTGTAAAGGACTTTATATTTTTGTTTTTCTGTTTCTCTTTTTTTTTCTTTGCGGCTGGGTTTTCTTTTCTTTTTTGTTTATGTACTATTTTTGTTTTTTGTATCCTCAAATTTTTTTTTGGAAATTTTTGTTGTTATTCTTTGAAAATTTAATAAATATCAATTATAAAAAAAAAAAGGTGTGTTCTCCACCATGGAGCTGCCAGAGGGCAAGCAGGCAGTGAGCTGCCGTTGGGTTTACAGGGTTAAGCCCACAGCGTCTGGAGAACCACAATACTGTTGGTTTCTGCTTTCCTTCACTGTGCAGCTCTGCTTGTCATGAGACAGGTGTTTACATTCCACAGTCTGTACTGTTGGAGTTTCTCACGGGAAAGGGAGACTGGATGTGACGTACACTGGTTTCCTGTTTTTTTTCACTGTGTGATTCTCTCCAAGCTGTGGAGGAGAGAGGATGCATTTTTCTGCTCTTGCAGAGGCAAGATGTCTTTCTGTAATATACCAGCTTTGAACTGTAAATAAAGCAATATAGAGTATGTAACACATTTTCCTCATCCTTCCGCTGGCAACGAGACTCTGCTTAAATCAACACGTGGTTATGGACTCCAGAGGTCGAATCGGAGTGCCGGCAAAAAGGATCGGAATGCAGAGGGACGGATCGGAAAGGAATCTGCTCTGCGCGTAGAAGTGATTGATGAGGTATGTGCTACTGCTCCGGGCAGCCTGCCAGCTTCAAGTTAATGGCTTTATGGCTGGACTTTGAACTTTTAAAGCTTTTAATAGGCAAAAGGCTGCCAGGCACAAGTCACTATGCTGGGGAAATCGAAAGTAACTTTTAAGTGTGCCTTTGTAATGAAGCAGCTGCAGCAGTGACGCAGCAAGATTTAAAGCAGCATATGACGCTGAAGGCTAATGCCAGAGTCATGATGGCCCTTCAGGATGCTTGTAGGATTCCTAAGCTCAACAAGAAAAATTACAGCGACTGGGTTCAGTATGCAGAGGCAATTCTGCGGAAAGAGGGTTTGTTTGAGGTGATTACAGGAACCCCCAGTTCCAGTTACAGATGCATGGGAAGCTAAGGATTCCAAAGCAAGGGAACTCCTACATTGATAGTATCCCCAGAAGAGCTCTGTCTAGTGCGTGATAAGACCTCAGCCAGAGAAATTTGGGACGCTCTGAAAGAGGCTCACTTAAGGACAGAAGCTGGATCCACTATGTTTTATTTTAACAAGCTGCATAATATGGCTCTTGCTGAAGGTGGAGATGTGCGTTTACATCTGATGCAGATGCAAAATCTGAGACATGAGCTGCAACAAAGAGGACTCAACTTTCCAGAGGCTGTGTATTCTTTCATGATACTACAATCTTTGGGTTCAGGTTGGGAGTCTGTTGCAACCCAGATTGCTGTGCAACCAACTGCTCAGCTGACAGTGGACTTTGTTACTGCCGTGATTTTAAATGAAGCAGATCGCCGGGGTGCTAGCTGCATGGGCAAGGAGAGTCTTCACAGACGTCATCCCATAGTGCAGTGGAACCACCAGATGGCGCCAAAGCTTTGAAGGCAGTAAAATGCTACGCGTGTGGACGTCTAGGCCATATGAAGAGGGAATGCAGACATCCCAGGGCCAAGACAGAGCAGCGCAGCGAAAGCTCATCGCGCGGAAAAGGCCGAGGCAAAGGCAAAGGTCCGGTGTCTAGGACAACGCAGCACAAGGCTATGGTTTCACGCTTCACTCCAAAGGTTGCAGAGGTCCAGAAGACGTCTAGATCTTTCTTCGTTGTTGATTCAGCGGCCACCCACCACATGTGCAACGATAAGAAACTGTTTGTGTCTTTTACACCGCAGGAAGGTGCGATTCACCAGGCGGATGACCACACTATTCCCAGTAAAGGCTACGGAACTGTTGTTCTTCACAGTTTGGACTTATCGATACAGAATGTGCTTTACGTGCCAGACGCCAAACATAATCTGCTCAGCGTTGGACAGCTGAATGAGCGGAACATTGACGTTTCCTTCAAGAACAAGAAGTGCATCATCACAAAGAAAAATGATTATGTATTGCATGCAGAATATGTTGATCATTTGTTTGTTTTGTATTATGATGATGTGGTGCAGGATGACACTTGTTGCATTGCAGGTTCTAACAAAAGTTTGCATGCAGAATGTATTCACGATTTTCATCGTAAATTTGGTCATTTGCATTTTGAGGCAGTATCTAAAATGCCTGCCTTGGTTGAAGGTATGACTATTAAACCCTGCAGGTACCACATGAAGTGCAAAGCATGCGCAGCAAACAAGGTGAAAATGGCTGCGAAAGGTAAGGTGTCTAGTAGGATAGCTACAGAACCATACCAGGTTGTTCATGCTGATTTGGTTGGACCACTACCGCCCTCTTTGGGTGGAAATAGATACTTCATGGTTCTCATTGATGCATTTTCTAGATATATTTTTGTGTACAATCTCAAGCAGAAATCGGAGGCTTTTCCTAGGTTCAAGGAATTCTGTGCTTGGTTGGAAAATGTGCATGGTAAGAAGATAAAGACTCTTTTCAGTGATCGCGGGGAATTCACTTCTCAGCAGTTTGAAGCTTTTCTGACTGAGAAAGGAATTCAACACGATTTGTCTAGTCCTCGCTCGCCATGGCAGAATGGACTTGCGGAACGGGCAAATCAGACTTTGCTTCAAGGGTTAAAAACCTTGCTGCATGATGCCAATCTTCCAGAGAGTTATTGGGCCGAATCTCTCTCGTGTTTTGTTTACAGTTACAATCGCAGGCTATCTTCAGCGATCGGTTGTACCCCCTATGAGAAGATGTTTGGCAAGAAGCCATACATCAAACACATGAAGATTTTTGGTTCTGACATGTGGGTTCGCTCACCACAAAACTCCAAGTTAGACAAGCGTGGATTGCATGGTATCTTTCTAGGTTATCAGAAAGGGTCTTACAGAATAATGATGACTGACTCTAAGACAATTAAGCTCACGAGAAGTGTTGAGTACAATGCAAAGTGGGGGAGAATGTGGGAATTTTCCAATGTTATCCTGATGACGGTGATGAGACTGAGGATAGTCAAAAGCAACCACAACAGCCCACACCCACTGATGAAGGTTCTGAGTCTGAATCTGAAACTGAATCGGGTGATTCAGAGGATTTCAAGAGTGCGAAAGCCTCTATGCGACCCTCTGAAAGCTCTGATCAAGAATTGGAGGAACCATTGTTCACAATAGGTCGTTTTTCTCCTAAGAAGGAAGAGGAGAGTGTTGAAGACTTAAGGCTAATTCGTAGGTCACAGAGAGCCACAAAAGGCAAACCTCCAAAGAGATTTGCTGATGAGTTTGCTAAGATAGCAGTAACAGCTGTTAAAAGCTCCAAGAAGGTATTTGAACCTTCAAGTTTCCAAGAAATCCAGGGTTTGGATTCAAGGAAGCTGAGCCATGGTTAAATGCCATGAAGGCTGAGCTTGATTCCTTAGAAAGGAACAAAACATGGGAGCTAGTTCCAGTAGTTCCAGGAATGAAACTGCTTGGAAGCAAATGGGTCTTCAAAGCGAAGACAGATCAAAATGGCAAGATAGTCAGACACAAAGCCAGATTGGTAGCCAGAGGTTTTGCACAGGTACCAGGTGAAGACTATCACGAGACCTATTCACCCACAGTGAGATATGAAAGCATTAGGCTTATGCTCAAGCTAGCTGCAGAGGAAAATCTACACGTTAGTCACCATGATATTAATACAGCTTTTCTGTACGGATCTCTAGATGAATCACTTTATATGCTTCCACCTGATGGCGTACAGGTAAAACAGGGATTTGTTTGTGCTCTGAAGAAATCCCTTTATGGTCTCAAACAAAGTGCACGGTGTTGGCACACAAAACTCACTGAAGTATTGTTTTCTCTAGGTTTTCAGCAAGGGAAAGCTGATCCATGTGTATTTGTCAAAGAGGAGGGGCAAAAGAAACTGTACTGTTTGTTTTATGTTGATGATTTATTATTCTTTTGGAAAGATGTCGCAATGTACAATAACGCCCTAGCTCAACTGAAAGAGCACTTTGACATGAAAGATCTTGGTGAGGTAAACAACTACCTATCTCTGGAAATAGAGAGAGATCAAGATGGTAACATTCTAGTACACCAGTCACGGAAAATTGCTGATGTGTTAAGCAAACTAAATCTGATGGATGCTAACCCTGTAGACACACCGATGACAACAGGTTATCAGGTAGATGACACTGAAGAAGCATTTTCTGACACTACACTGTACAGGAGTGTGCTAGGCAAGCTAAACTTCATTGCCAGATGTTCAAGACCAGACATTGCTGTTAGCTGTAATTTGCTAAGCAGACAAGTCAACAATCCTAGTGTCAAGGATTGGAAAGCTCTGAAACGCATAGCGCGGTATTTGAAAGGCACTATGCATTACAGACTGAGATTTAACAATCAGAAGTCTGGTGGTCTTGAGATATTTGCAGATGCAAGTTTTGGAAGTGACGCTACAGACAGGAAAAGTACGTCTGGAGTTTGCTACATATACAATCAGAGTCTTTTAGATTGGTCATGCAAGAAGCAAACAACAGTTAGCTTAAGTACTTGTGAAGCTGAACTGAATGCACTGTCTTATTCACTTAAGGATTGTGAATGGTTAGTACAATTGTGCAAAGATATGAAAATTCCTGTCAAATGTCCAATCCAGGTTTACCAGGACAACAAAGCATGTTTGGCTTTGCTGAAGTCTGAAGGTTGTAAGCTAAAGCACAAAGCACTTGCAATTAAAGTTGCAGCATGCTAGGGAATGTATTCAGAAGGGACTCGTAACGGTGTCCTATATGCCAGGTAATGAAATTCCTGCTGATGTATTGTCCAAGATTGTATCAAGGGATCAACACTGTACCTATGTGCAGAAGTTGGGTTTGTACTGATATTGTGCCAACACGCTGCCCAGTGATGTTCACAGAAAGGGGGAGGATGTTGGTTTCTGCTTTCCTTCACTGTGCAGCTCTGCTTGTCATGAGACAGGTGTTTACATTCCACAGTCTGTACTGTTGGAGTTTCTCACGGGAAAGGGAGACTGGATGTGACGTACACTGGTTTCCTGTTTGTTTTTCACTGTGTGATTCTCTCCAAGCTGTGGAGGAGAGAGGATGCATTTTTCTGCTCTTGCAGAGGCAAGATGTCTTTCTGTAATATACCAGCTTTGAACTGTAAATAAAGCAATATAGAGTATGTAACACATTTTCCTCATCCTTCCGCTGGCAACGAGACTCTGCTTAAATCAACAAATACAAGGTGAGGCTTGTAGCCAGAGGGTTCACGCAGAGAAGGGGGCTGCATTACACCGAAGTGTATGCTCCTACGTCCCGGAATGAGACTCTGCGCGTGCTTTTAACAGTAGCTGCTCAAAGAGGGCACCAAGTGCACCACTTTGATGTGGATGTGGCTTATTTGAACTCGGATCTGAAGGAGGATCTGTACATGCTACCTCCTCCAGGGTTTGAGGGCAATGAGCCAGGTGTTGTTTGGAAGCTACACAAGTCAATTTATGGTTTGAAACAGTCAGCCAGAAATTGGAACATGTGCCTGAATGAAGCTCTGGAAAGCTTAGGTTTCCAGAAGAGTCTTGCAGACAGTTGCCTGTACCTGAAGGGGTCAGGAGAGACACAGGAAGCAATTCTGGTGTTCGTAGATGATATTCTGTACGTGGCACAGACAGGTAGACAGGTGCAAGGTTTTGCCAAAGAGCTTGGTAAGAAGTTTAAGGTCAAAAATCTTGGTCCCGTTCAGGTTTATCTAGGCATTAGGATAGACAGGTCTGAGAACAGGAGTTTCTTGCTCAGTCAGAAAGGCAAGATTGAGCAGTTGCTTGAGAAGTTCTGGATGGCTGACTGTGCAGGGGTCTGAACGCCCATGGAGACCAACTTCGTGAAGGACAGTCAGCTTGGGGAGCGTTCTGAGTTCCAAAACCCTGAGGTGTTTCAGTCAGCGCTAGGGAGTCTGTTGTATCTCTCTCAGTGGAGCAGACCAGACATAGCGTTTGCTGTGAATCTGCTCAGCAGGGAGGCTACAAAGCCCAGTGTGAATGCCTGGCAAGGCATCAAGAGAGTGTTGAGGTATTTGCAGGATACCAAAGAGTCTTGCCTCACGTTGTCAGCTGAAGGTGACACACGGCTTACGTGCTGGAGTGACAGCGATTGGGCATCTCTTGGGGACAGGAAGTCTGTGTCTGGGCTGGTGGTAAAGTTCGGGGAATCCCTGGTTGGGTGGAAGTCCCGGAAGCAAAGTCTTATTGCACTTTCTTCCACTGAGGCTGAGTTCAGTGCGTTGTCGGATTTGTGCAGGGAGTTGGACTTCTACCAGTGCTTGATCCAAGAGATCTGTGGGGATTGTTGCTTGCCCATAACTGTTTGAGGAGACAATCAACCTTGTCTTAGGTTGGCAGAATCTGGACAGTTCAAGTCCAGAACCAAGCATTTGGACCTACGTTTCCAGAATGTATGTCAGAGTGTCCAGGCAGGTTGGATACAGCTCAAGTATTGTACGAGCCGGGAGAACCTAGCTGATGGGTTTACTAAACCCTTGACCTTCCAGCAACATGGGGAGTTCTGTGAAGGGTTGTGTTTGGGGTGAGTTGTACTCACAGTTTTCCCTCAGGATGCGAGACGAGAGGGGGTGTGAGGAGAATCAGAACTTACAGGGTTAAACAGTTCTGTGTGACATCTCACATTCTGAGGCGTGGTTTGGTTCACATACGGGAATCTTTCTTTGTGTGTGAGTTACTTTCGTTTTTGGCTGAGAGACGAAAGGATGCCTGCTCTCTCGCCGGGACTGATTTATGATGTTTTTCTACTCATTAAAGGCTGTTAGAGATTAGCAAGAAGCCTGCGTTCAGTCTGATTTATTATCCACACACAAGGCAACATTTTCTGCCTCTGCAGGACTCTGCTAAGAGCTGCAAAGAGAGCTCAAGCTTTTTCTATCGGCACAGGCGTCCATCGGCCCAGGGGAAGTGTGCCGGGTGCCATCTTATCTCAGCAAGCTCACCCCGCTGTGGGGATTCGAACCACCGACCATACGATCAGCAAGTCCTAGGCACTGAGGTTTTACCCACAGCACCACCCGCACCCCAAAGAGTGTAGAACAAACAAATGATGGGATGTATAAAAACCCCACAAGCAAATCTGGTTGATTGCTCATTGTTGTATAATCTCCTCCTGCAAATAAATCACAATGAATCCTCAAGACCAGACATAGTTTAAACTCCTCAAAAGACTTGTGCAAGCCAACCAATAAAAAGGTCTGGAGGAGCCCCCATAGTCAACTCTCACATTCATACTGCTTTTAACACTGATTCAAGAGATAATTGTGATGGGTCTATCATCTGATAGTATGAGCAGCACTGAGGAATTTACTTAGTCTTTTCTATAGAACACCCTTGAGGTGATTCCCCCTCCCCCCCACCACACACAGAGTATGGCAAAATATCACTTTAAAAAACAGGCAACGCAGCCATCACAGGGACAAAAATACCCCTACTACTACATGTGCTGCATCTTCATTTTGTCAGCATCCCTCCACAGAGAGATTTGTAGAAGTCTCCATCCGTGCATTGCCATCCATAACTTCTCCATAGTTCATTGGCCTCAAACATTTTATCGACTTTCACCACTATGTGAATCCCTGGATATTTATTCTGTAAGCCCCCAGGGATCCATTGAAAAAAAAATTTATTTTATGGAGCTTTATGACAAAGGTACTTCTGCAGATAAAATCTTTCCGTTACTGCTCAGCTTTTGTTCTCTGTATCGTATGCTTTGCCAACTCACCACCTAAAACCCATTTTAGATTAAGACAGTGGCCATAAAGATACCCGCAGGATGTAAGCACTCATGATTAAATAGGAGGGTGTCCGCTTATTGCCTATCATTTGCTCAAGGGGAAATGTTAGGACAAATTGGGACGGTAGGAAAGATAATGTACAGATGTGGACTTGAAGCTTGAACTCTTTTCTGCACAAGGCACTCTAGTTCCAAAACGCTCCTCCCAGCTCTCCTTTGTAGACTGCACTAAACACCAGGTTTTTCTGATGCTAAAGCTGTTGTAAATTTATCCTGGACTTCCTTGCAGTCACATCACTTATTCATTTCCTTCAAACATATGTCGAAACTGGTGATCACACATTCAAGAGGAACTTAAAAAAAATGCTTAAAATATCATGTTAAAAAAAAAAAAAACAGAGGCGTACCTCTTGGGAATTATATCAACTGGCATTCCTGCCGCTAGGGAAAAAGTTTTCTTATATGCAGCCGCTGCGACCAAAATGATTATAGCAAAAAATTGGAAGGGAGAAAAAACTCCCTCAATAAGAGAATGGCAAATAAAATTTTGTGAATATATAGAATCAGCAAGACTTACAGCAGTGGTAAGAGGCCAATCAGACCCAAAACTGATAGAGGAGTGGACTTGCGTGAAGGAATACATCAAAAAACATTGTTCTGGTATTAATATATCAATATGCAATGAATGAAACTTATAGAGTAAAAAATTAAGAAGAAATGGGTATAAGATGAGATAGTCAAAAATGATACTGATAACACAGCGAAAAGAAGAAAAGAAACAAAGGAAGCCACATATAGGTGGTGGGAAGTCAAAATTTATGTTTACTTTATATGTTTGTTTTCTTTTTTTGTAATCTAAGTTGAGAGGTGTATGTATCTATGTATAATAAGTTTGTTTAGTGTTCTGGTTTGTGTTTGTAAGTACAGTGGTACCTCAGGTTAAGTACTTAATTCGTTCCGGAGGTCTGTTCTTAACCTGAAACTGTTCTTAACCTGAAGCACCATTTTAGCTAATGGGGCCTCCTGCTGCTGCCGCGCCGCCGGAGCACGATTTCTATTCTCATCCTGAAGCAAAGTTCTTAACCTGAAGCACTATTTCTGGGTTAGTGGAGTATGTAACCTGAAGCGTATGTAACCCGAGGTACCACTGTATTGCATTTATCAATAAAAGTTTAAAAACAAACAAACTGGTGATCACAAACAAAACGAGAATACCGTACAGAGTGAACATTTGCTAACTGTCCACACACTGTAGCTTCTGGGCTGGAGGGTAAGGGAGATGGGAACTCAGCAGATAGTTACCACCTTCATGTGCTCTGGTTATATGTTAATGCCACAGTAAGAGACAGGGAGGCATTTCCTCTCCAGCTCATGGTGGCTGGCAGCTGTGGAAGCTCAGGCTCGGTGACCTGGGTCTTCACGAAGAGACAACACACCATAATCTTTTCAGTGCATAGGGCCTCTAAAGGTCTTAATCCAGCCCTGGAAGGAAAACTTCCACCAAGGTGAGGTGGGCAGTAGGAAAGCTGGCATATCCTATTCCAGCATTCCCTCCTGGCACATTGTACTTCCCTTTCCTTTGTGACGGCTATGACAGTTTCCAGTCAGAGCGGAGAATTATACCTATTGGTACCACTGGTGATATTAACAGTCAGGAAGCCTGCTTAAGCTTGAAGAAAATTAGTAATATTAAGAACAAATTAATCAAGAGGGCAGACAGGTATGTCACTGGAGCCATTTATCTGCTGGTCTCTTTGCTCCGAAAGCCCATAATTCATGTCCTCCTGACTTATTACTTGGGCAAGTTTCTAGACGCTGGCACTCTGTGGCTATTTGCTTTAGGGGAGACAAGAGGCTGAGTAAAAAGACAGTGATGAGAAAACCACTTTAGGAACCTGCCATTTGCCAGAAAAGAAGAATTGTCCACAAAGATCCTCTGTGATTTGTCGGAAGAGCTCAGCAACCAGAGGGACTCGGCAGTCATTGATCAAGTCTGCTTTTAACAGTTCCTAGTGTATTTATGGCCCACAGCAAGACATCGGAGCGGATGGGGAAGACTCTTCCAACTGCATGCAATTGCTGCCGTTGGGCACAACATATGTTTCAAAGGGTGAACAGACAATCTATACTGAGGTTCATTTTTGGTACATTGTACTGAGGAACGGAGCAAAACCTCCTGATCTGAGCAGGGTCAGCTCAAGTCATTTTGCAGCCTGAGGTTAAGGACAAGATGGCACCTCACTTCCGTTGCATGAAGAGACTGGCAGCTGAATACCTGACTTCAACTCTGGCCAGGGAGCACCTTCTTCCATCACACCTGAGCAGGAGGGGGAGGGAAAGAATTTGACTCAGTTCACCTTTAAAGGCAAACCTACCTAAATTGCACTTTCTGAAACTACTTGCAAACTGAAACACAACCATCCTTTGAAATTCTCATGTCCTTGACTTTTTCAGTGTAGTTCTCCAGCCATGTAATATGCGCAAAATGCATATACTAGGATAAAGTGTGTGTGTGTGTGTGTGTGTGTGTGTGTGTGTGTAAAAAGAGAGAGAGGGGTGGGGAATTAACTAATGCATTGGCAGAAAATTGCTTTGCCAAAAAAGTGTACAGTGGTACCTTGGGTTAAGTACTTAATTCGTTCCAGAGGTCTGTTCTTAACCTGAAACTGTTCTTAACCTGAAGCACCACTTTAGCTAATGGGGCCTCCTGCTGCTGCCGCGTCACCAGAGCACGATTTCTGTTCTCACCCTGAAGCAAAGTTCTTAACCTGAAGCACTATTTCTGGGTTAGCAGAGTCTGTAACCTGAAGTGTATGTAACCTGAAGCGTATGTAACCCGAGGTACCACTGTATATAGGGCAATATTTCATGCAAGCATGTGCATAAGAAGAAATTGGCACGAAAATGCTGGCAAATTTTAATTAGGTTTTTAAAATTGGAAACTGATATGGAGAACTGAACTTAAGAATGAAGAAAAAGAGAATCTGAGAGAAACCCTAACAGAGAGGTTTGCCCACCCCTACCTGAGTGCAGCAAGTTTCCTTGAAGAACAAAGGGCAGCCTGCATGGCAGCCTGGCAGCAGTGCTCCCCCCCCCCTCCCAGCATCCACTGCCTGAGGCAGCTGACATATGCTGCCTAACCATTAGGCCACCCCTGCATCCATACCACACACCAAACAGAGGGTGCTGCTGATTATATCCATGGAGCAAATTCATTGGTTCATGGAAGCCAATGTGATCCACTAGTCATTAGGCAAAGTCATTGGAAGAGGAGTAGGGAGACATGCTTAGGGAGGGCCTAAAGCTATGCCTGTTGAACATGGAGAGAAATGACTGAGCTAGTTAGGTTATTGGTCTGAACCAATATAATTAGTCTGGAGTAATTTTGAGATGGAGCTTAAGAAAGAAAGAAAGAAAGAAAGAAAGAAAGAAAGAAAGAAAGAAAGAAAGAAAGAAATTGTACTAGTGTGAGCTCACACATTTTAGTAACATGGTGCAGGTATTCCTGAATGGAGAAAAGGGGTCAATAATACATTGCACTCTTCTGCCTAATTGATTTCCCAATGCTATGCAGTGCAACATGGCTATCAGTTGATTATGCCATTTAAAATATGATCAAAAGCTAACTAATATTATAGCCCCTAAATATGCTTTAGACCGATACAATATCTTCTCAAAGCAGAGGATTAAGCAGTGTAAGTAGGCAATTTAAATTGACTAGAACTAAAAATTGGAGTCCATTTACATTTACAGTTTCAGTAATTAAATGATAACGCAAACCATTACTGCCTTTGATATGAAAAGGGAACTCAATTTCTCCCCTCTCCCTGCAAAGTGCCCATTTAGAACTGCATTCCATGGAGGGCTGCTACTCGGAAACCATACGAAGCTATCTCAAAGCCCTGATGCCTTTACGAAGATTTCCCTCTCACAGTGGTTTTCTGAAAACTGGGCCTCGAGTAATGCTGAGTAAATCCATGGGAAATGTGCTCCACTCTCGCACATCTGGATGCCTCTACGAGGCAATGATGCTTTCTCGCTTGGTCTCTCTGACAGGAGCTGTTTGAGGCAAGCTGCAAGGCACATTAACCAGAAGGCATTATTGAGTGGAGGCAAGGAGTGAACCGGGGCAGCCCAGTGTAGCTGCTGTACCTGGAGAATACAGTATATGGTGCCATTGGTTTGTGTGGCAGGCATTCTCTAGATATAGCACCTGTTCAGGCACAGCACACACCTACTGTCTTCACTGCTACCAAGGTATGCACACTGGGCCCCTTCAGCATCTATCCCTCCACATGAACAGATTCGGTATCTCAGAGACAACATACCTCTGAAATGTTGCTGTCAGACAGAGATAGAGAACCTCAGGGATGGGTGCCAAATGTGGCTCTCCAGGTCTATCTGGCCCTTGGGATTTTCCCCCACACTCGTCCCCAGCCACATCCTCTCCCTCCAGGCCACACACATTACCAGCCCTACTTTGTACCCTGCCAACCAGTTGAGTGTTTTCACTTGGCTTGACTGTGCCGATGAACTCTGACAGCGCTTCTTGTTTGCCCAGATGGAGGATAAATGGATGGAGGTCTGCACATGCACATAGAAGGCAACCTACAGTACCGAAGGTGAATTTCACATTTGTTGCCCTGTCCACTTTTGCCTCTGGTTCTGCCCATCACTAGCATTTGGCCCCTGGAAGAATATCCAGAAGGAAACATGGCCCTTGGGTTGAAAAAGCTTCTCCCACCCCATGTTTGATAACAACAGAAGAGCCTGTGCAAAAGTTTCAAATGTCAGTTTCATGACCCTATTTGATTTCATTAGGAAAAGAAGTTCAGTCTTGAGAGACCGTCAAAGTCATAGTTTTGAATGCGGTCCAGGAAACAAATGGCTGTGCATTTCTGCAAATCCTGGTGGAGGTAACGTTAGCTTGAGTAACTGCGCTGAGCAAATCAGAGATAGTGGGGTGGAACTACAAAAACAGCAGAAGGGTCAGAGGGAAACTGGCTGAGGAAGATGACTCGTTTTTCAAGCAGGAATATTGAAATGCATGAAATGATTGAGAAGGCAAGGGCAGCAGTTTGCAATCCTCCTAGCTATTCAATAAAACATTGGCTAAGCCCCTTCTTTTTTTCCTCTTTTTTTGTTGAGGGTGATAAAAGAAAATCATTATGACTTTGTTCATGATGAACACTGAAGGGTTTTCTGTGGTGCTTGGAGTGCCATGGAAGCTGTCGGATGGGGCAACTCCATCCAGAACTGAAAACTGGTGATTCAAGGCAGCTGGATTAGAATAGTGTGTCTTTTCTCTTTATCTGGATTGCATACTTCAGCAGCTTTCCAAAGCCTTAGGCAGAGGTGTTTTCATAAACTGCTACTTGATCCTTTTAACTGCTATTAGCAGCTAAACTAAGGACTCTCTTTTTTAAGGCCTATAGCAGGAGTCAGAAACCTATGATCCTCTAGATGCTGTTGGACTAAGGTTACCAGATTTTTTTCAATGAATCCGGGGACACTTTTCAACTTCAATGGATTTTGTATGGGGACTGATATGTAAATACGGGGACTGTCCCCGGGAAATGGGGACGTCTGGTAACCTTATGTTGGATGCCAAAATAACCTTTAGATCAGGATGCCAAACAATCTAGATCTAAATATACAGTCAGTTTACAGGCAGGTCTTTTTGTCAGCAGGTACTTGAGGGAACTCGGTTCTGGCACCTCTCAAGTGGGCGCCATTGGTATTCTAAGAGAATGAGGGAGGTGTTCATGGCGAGTTCCGGCAGCTCTTTTTTTAGGAAAATAGCACTGACTACAGGGATCGTGAAGCTGAGGCTCCAATACTTTGGCCACCTCATGAGAAGAGAAGACTCCCTGGAAAAGACCCTGATGTTGGGAAAGATTGAAGGCACAAGGAGAAGGGGACGACAGAGGACGAGATGGTTGGACAGTGTTCTCGAAGCTACCAACATGAGTTTGACCAAACTGCGGGAGGCAGTGGAAGACAGGAGTGCCTGGTGTGCTCTGACCACGGGGTCACGAAGAGTCGGACACGACTAAACAACTAAACAACAACACAGGGATTAAGACCTAAGCACTGGAATTCTTTCTTTTAAACATTTATTAAACTGGCCAAAATGTTACAGAAACAAAAGTCTATCTAATGAGCCTGCATTGCAACTTTATTATAAAAGGAAACCATTTTTGCAACACAGAAATTGATGTCGTAACTCCATTACTTCTCTGTATATGCTGTCAATCAGTTTGTCAATCTCGGCCATCTCCAATGCCTTATTCAGCTATTCCTTAACAGACAGAATAGAAACAGCATTCCAGTGTATAGCTAAGAAACAATGGTGGGTGGTGCCCACTGGGACTGGTAGGGCAGAATTTAGGGAGACCCACAGCAGGTGGAGCTACAACCAATGACAGGCAGAGCCAACTAATTCCAGTTTTATCCCCATCCTTCTCCCTGTTGAGTTCTACATGAGCAACACTGGTCTCATCCACAGTCCATTTGTCCAGACACTTTCCCTGGGAAAAACCATTGAATCGCAACAAACATCAGTTCGGTTACTTTGCTGATTTATTTCAGCAATAAACAGTAGGTTTTCCCGAGGAAAGTGGTGGGATGAAAGAAAACCCTCTCAGACCTGTGCCCAGAAATGGTGGGACAAACAGAAGAAACTATAGGACTAATGGAAGTATAGATGAGCCCACTGAGGCCAAGGAGGAAGAAGCTGATAGGCAGTTCCACCCCGTAAACTGATTGTAAGTAAGAGGACAGGCAAGTGGGGCCTGGCTGAGGGCAGGCTGGAGCTGGTGGGACAGTGCCCCACTTCCCCCAATGGACCACCCTCAAAAGGCTAAGGCAGTCTTCGCTGCAGCCAAGAGTCAGTAGTTTTATAGGAATCTAAAACCCCACATTAAAAAATAAAATACTGCAAGAGGCCAAATGTAATATTAATTCCAACAAATTACCAAAGGGCACGACCATTTGTTTCAACCGCTGACCCCAAAATACATCTGGTGAAAGTGGCTGCCCATACATACTAAGCAATCCTGCAGGAGTCAAGAGCACCATATTAAAACAAAGTGAAAATAAGGAAAGGGGATGGCAGAAATAATGTTGCCACCAAATTCGCTTTTGCAAACATCAATGCAAAAGATGAAAAATATTTATAGAAGAAGCAATTAACTTCCAAATGAAGGGGAAAATAGAAACAAACAAGGAGTGTTTGCCTGTTGGCCTACTGTGGAAATCTGCGCTTTGCTAACAAGGAGACGCCAGTGTTTGCGTTCTGATTAGGAGCATGGATTGAGAGCAAGCCAAGAAGATGGAAAGTAAACAGTCCATAAAAGCTGACCTCCCATGTTGCATGCAGCCTGTAATTTGTTTCAGTCACTATGGGAAAACAGATGTGCCTTCATTAGCACATACACACCCCACCTCCACAAGTTCGTTGTATTGATTGCAAATAGGAGAACAGATTGGTGGGATTTGGGAACTGTTCTAGACAAACAAAGGGTCCCTAGTCCAACTGGATAAGGTGGAGAGAAAAGAAAGGTAGAAAGCAAACGTAACACATTTATTTGAACTAATAATAAGACACATCAGCGTATTTTTCTGCACCAGTCAGAGGAGAGAAGAAATGGAATGAATGCAAAATGTGACATTATTTTAAACCCCAGAATTCAGAAGCTTTAGACCTTGGAAATAAGAATTGCACGTGCTCAAGACCCCCAAAAAGCATCACCATAAATTAAGTGTGTCTAACTGCACAATGAATAGCAGCTATTACAGTGGTACCTTGGGTTAAGTACTTCATTCGTTTCGGAGGTCAGTTCTTAACCTGAAACTGTTCTTAGCCTGAAGCACCACTTTAGCTAATGGGGCCATGCCGTTGGAGCCTGATTTCTGTTCTTATCCTGAAGCAAAGTTCTTAACCTGAAGCACGATTTCTGGGTTAGCGGAGTGTGTAACCTGAAGCGTATGTGACCTGAAGCATATGTAACCCGAGATACCACTGTATGTTTATTTTAAGTAATAAAGCACCGTTTTCCTGTGACATACCTCCAAAGGTGGGTGGCCTTGGTTAAGTTCAGACAAACTGGGGAAATGGGGATAATACACCTATACTACTGCACAGACAACACATGCGCACAGAGAAAGAGAAAAAGTGTGCAATAGTTCCCAACTGAAGACAAATTGCCTCTATACAATGGTTACTTTTACTTAGACCCAAAGCTATGTCCTGAACCCCTGACCTACCTTGCAGCAAGTCAGTACGCCAAGTCTCCAGTCCTGGCTCAATCCACATGTTGAGCGTCCAAAGCCCCTCAGAGATCCTGGAGCATCCAAGCTGCAGTCCATCAACATGGGCAGTTGAGCAGACACAGCACCTCAGCTCTGATGCTGATTGCAGCATCTGGGCTTGATGAGGCATGTGACCCTCACCTGTTCCAATCCTACTCCACCTCCTCCCAGAGCTAGCGAGCCCTACCTGGCCAGCTAGGGAGCTGGGTTATGGGCCCTTGCCTGCCTCAGCTTCCTAGAGTGCCACTCCCACTGCTCCCTACACCTCAAAACCTGCCGTGTTTGTGGAGACAGGGGCCCCTCTGGCTCTGGTTATGGGTCCTGCTGCTCTGGTTCCTGTGCACTGACCCCCATCCCCTTGTCATTTTCCGTCAGCCCATGAGTACTTCCTACACCAACCTCTCCTTCCCCATCCCCAGCTTGTCCTGGTGTGACCCAGTCCTGGCTACAACCCTTGCCAGGATTCTCTTCCTCCTCCCCATTGTCCTGCCAGTTCATAACAGGCTCCTTCTGCTTCAGAGAACAGCTGGGAAGATTGACTTGCAGTGCAATCCTGGGGAAGAGTCATAGCTCAGTAGAAGAGCATCTTCTTAGCCACTAGATGGTCCCAGATTCAATCCCTGACATCTCCAGGTAGGACTGGAAGAGAATCCTGTCTGAGAGGTCAAATGGCCGAAATATTGGGAAATTTTGGAACAAGACGGAGATAGATTGAAATTGCAGAGTTTTGAAAAACTAAAAAACAAAGTGCGAGACTGGCTTCATTATTATCAGATAATGGAGGTATTTAAATTGGACAGGAAAATTGGCTTCCAGGTGGAAAGATCCAAATTAGAAACAGAACTGTTAGAACCCAAGACTAAGAATTTATCAAGAATGTATAACTTGCTGCTGAAATGGAATACTCAGGATGAAACGGTAAAATCGGCTATGATTAAATGGGCACAGGACGTTGGACATAACATTATGTTTGCTGACTGGGAACAGTTATGGACCACAGGTATGAAATTCACGGCATGTAATGCCTTAAGAGAGAATATCATGAAAATGATATACAGGTGGTACATAACCCCAGTCAAGCTTGCGAAAATCTATCACTTGCCCGATAACAAATGTTGGAAATGTAAAGAAACTGAAGGTACATTTTTTCACCTTTGGTGGACGTGCCCAAAGATTAAGGCTTTCTGGGAAATGATATATAATGAATTAAAAAAGGTATTTAAGTATACCTTCCCTAAGAAACCAGAGGCCTTTCTCCTGGGCATAGTCGGCCAAATGGTGTTAAAAAAGGATAGAACTTTCTTTATGTATGCAACAACAGCAGCAAGAATACTCATCGCAAAGTATTGGAAGACACAAGAACTTCCCACGCTGGAGGAATGGCAGATGAAACTTATGGACTATATGGAATTGGCGGAAATGACTGGTAGAATCCGTGACCAGGGAGAAGAGTTGATGGAGGAAGATTGGAAGAAATTCAAAGACTACCTTCAGAAACATTGTAAAATTAAGGAATGTTAGAGTGATGTTGGACTGAAAACAAGAGGTTTCCAGCTGTACAGGTTAAAGTTAATGATAGACTAAGATTAAAGATTAAGATTAAAGATGTTTAAAGAAATGGAAATTTGATATTAAGAGGGAAAATTTTAATGGTATATGATATTAAGACCAAGGATTAGGTTTAAAGAAGTTGAAGCTATATATTTTAATATCTTATCAAATTAAAGATTGGGATTAAAAAAGTGGAAAAGAAACTGCTGGACAAATAATTTGGATTGGAATACAAAAGAGGGAGGTATGAGGAAGTCCAGAAAATAAGCAACTAAAAAACGGAAACGAAACAGAGATATTGTTTTTAAATTGTTATGTTTCTTGTATTTTTATTGTTGAATTTTGCTTTTGTTTTTTTGTTTTTTGTGTTTTTGTTATATGTAATGTGTATGTTTTTCTTTTATTTCTTTGTTGTTTAAAACTTTAATAAAAATTACTTTTTTTTAAAAAAAAAGAATCCTGTCTGAGAACCAGTAACAGCTGCTGCCAGCCAGTGTAGACAATACCAAGCTAGGTAGACTAATGGTCTGACTTGGCATAAGGCAGCTTCCTATGTTCCTATAGTTGTTTTCTCATAAGACCCACTGGGGCTACTCACTAGCAAGTGTGCTTAGGATTGCACCCTTAACATGATTGTGGCCAGTTTTAAGATGCTGGCCACTTGCCACTGTATAAAACTGTTGAGCCCTAATGTGCAAGACAATAATGGATTAGTGTGTCCCAAGCAGTGGATAGAGGCAAAGGCGCCCACTCCTGCAAATATGGGAACTGCATTTGAGTGGCATGTGGGCCACTTCTGAGAGCGCAGCAATGTAGTGCTCTGTTGGCTTCATCACCTGGCAAAATCCTGATTTTGCAACATGGCCTTTTTTGCCATCTCCCTACAAAGGGAACGAAACAATGAACAAACGTGTCCATGAAATGTTTTCTGTTTTTGGACATATGTTCCCAAATATGAGCAAACAAGTGGCTATTCTACCCTACTCACTACCAAATTTGACTGGATTCCTTTCTAAACAACAAATAACCACAACCCTAGAAGTAAGTCCCTTTGTGTCAAATGGGGCTTACTCCCAAGTAAACGCACACAGGATTGCAGCTTATGCAAAGCAAACCCCTTCTTTCTGTTATTTTGCCTATTGGATCAGTTTGCATGCGCAGTTAAACATCTGCTAAGAATTTCATCCCTAGTGGCAGTACAGATGCCATTTATATCCCTAAGTCTGCCCAGTCTCCTTTAATGCTATTAATCACATTATTTCAATTAATGGAGCTGAACTAGCTGGCCTGGGCTAATGGGTTATTAATGAGATCATGTTAGATTTGGACGATCCCAAGCATCAGCTATATGAGTCTTCATCATTTCTGCACTGTGCCTCTTTCATTCCTTGAATCTCCTCAAGAATCGCAAAGGTTCCATTATGCTTTCCCATCACACCAGTCCTCTCAGTGATGCGCAGCTGTGCCTGGTATCAATTACAGACGGACTGGAGTCATATTTTATTTGTGATACTGTATGTTCTAAAGCAGGGGAGGGAATCAATGGTTGTTTATATTGCCATTCCTCAATCCCCTGCTTTAAAGTAATTCATGACAAGGCTGAAGCCATTCATTTTATTAAGCTGTTATTAGTGGCCAGAAATTATTCTGCTTCATTGATCCTGAGGTGAATGAATTGCTACTCATTAATTTAGGGCCATATGTTTCAGATTTCAATTTTCCTTTGGAGACCAAATCCTTGTTGCTGTTGTTTCCTTAAAAAATAAGTACTGGAACAGACATTTTGCTTTGCTAAGGATTGGGTTCATTGTTATTTTCTTTCCTTTCATTTTAAAGATAACATGGTTGAGAAATTGAGAAAGAAGGATTTTTTCTAAATATAGAGCAGGTTTGCCTCTTCTGTCAAATCTGAACATTCTGCTATTGCAAAAGCTTGCGTTGGTAGCAATTTTCTCTTTTACTTGCATCAGGCCTGGTTGCTTTTTGTTGTTGTCTTTGGTTTTCAACAATTATTTACAGTGATTCCTTTTAAAAGAATTCAAGATACAAAATTCTTTGAAACGTCATAGCAGGGTGTGATGATGATCAAAGTGGCTGGATCATCCTGGGGCAGTGAATTCTATAGTCTTGGACCCTTATTTCCAATATTAGCACTCTGCTGCTTAGTGTGATCTGTAAAGAGCACCTGGGGTGGGAAGGGTTTGCTCTCCTATTTTAGCACAAAATTCCAGCACTGGAGTGATGTGGGGGCTGGAATGCTGCCTTCTACTCTTAAAGAGCAAGCAGATGGCTTTACCACCAGTATAAGATGCTTATGTGCTATGATGCCTTCTATCTCTGATTGGGAGAGATAGTGCTCTGCCAGTTCTTTAGATCTCTCACTAAAGAACAGGCAGGATGCTTTGTTTTTTGGTTGGCTAAATAAAGCTAATAAAGAAATGTTAAGCTAAAGCTTCGGGGCAGGTGGGCCACTTTCTGGGGCTTGGTGGGCTGGATTCAGTTTGGGGAGGCACAGGTTAGTCCAATCTGAGAGCATAGAATTGTTGAGTCGGAAGAGATCCCAAGAGCCATCTAGTCCAACCCCCTACGATTCAGGAATCACAGCTGAAGAATATCTGATAGATATTTAAAACTTCCAATGAAGTTTAAAAACCCTGTTTAAAAACTTCCAATGAAGGAGAGTCTACCACTTTCCAAGGTAGCCCATTCCACTGTCAAACAGCTTTTACCATCAGAAGATTATTCCTAATGTTTAGTTGGAATTCTCTTCCTTGGATTTGAATCCATTGGTTCTGGTTCTACCCTCTGGAGCAGCAGGAAACAAGTTTGCTCCAACTTCTTTGTGACAGCCGTTCAGATATTTGAAGATGGCTATCATATCATCTTTCAGTCTTCTCTTCTCCAGGGTAAACATATTCAACTCCCTCAACTGTTCCTCATAAGACTTTAATTTTCACATCTATCATCTTGGTTGCCCTCTTCTGCACACATTCCAGCTTCTTGATATCCCGTGATGCCTTAAGTGGACAAATCTTAAACTGTGAAGCCAAGAACTGGACAAAGTACTCCAGGTGGGGTCTGACCAAGGTAGAATAGAGTGGTACTATTACTTCTTTTGATATGGACACTTTATGATACTATATATCTGAAGTGCTTTGAACAATCGAGCTGTATAAATGCTAAACATTATTACTGACCAGGACTGCTTTAGATCTCTTTTTAATTTTGCAAAGTTTAAAAGGCAGTAGCACAAAACTTTATTTCATGGGATAGTGACTTAGTAAACCTTAAAAAATCCTACAGGAGTGACAAAAATAAAAAATGTAGCACATTTGTATAAGCTATACATCATGCAGTGCAACAAATACATTGCACAATAAATTTAATACATTTTGTACTCAAAATGATGCATCGCCTTCCAAATCAAATTTATCACCGCTTCAGTTTCACTTCATGTGCTGAATCAGAGTCGCCACCTACTTAATTAAAACCTTCACCTGTGGTTTGGTATCATGCTATAAATCAGGTCAAACCGAAATTAAACATGTTGCATATTAGAACCCATTCATCAGCTCATAAGTTAATTATAAAGCAAAATAAACCTTTATGAAGATGTTCCAAAAGAAAACTAGGCACACTTCCACATGGACAGAATGAGGGCCAAGTGCCCGTATCTGCTGAACATGGTGCCATTGAAAAGCTGGATTCATGTTGTGTGTGTGATGCTATAAACAGACAACAAAGACTATGATTGCGTTGGCAGTCACCTGGACTTGTGCAGATTATGACCACCAGCTTATGACAAGCAAAAGTCCACCTCGAAGTTCTGCTTTGCGTGCCCCACAGAAATGAATGGGTGTTGTGCCAGGACCACAATAGTGTTTTTGCACAGCAACCTCTGCTCATTTCAACGGGGCTTGCATGGGACCTTCCGGCTGAAGTGTGCTTCTTAAATTTGGTGCTTGATGTGCTGTAAGTATGACTAGTGTCATACATGCCTGTTGTAAACATGCTTCCTCTAGTGAAACGATGGGGAACCTGTGGCCCTCCAGTTGTTGCTGGACTACAGTTCCCATTGTCCCTGAACATGGACCATGCTTGTTGGGGCTGATGGGAGCTGGAGTTCAACAACAAGAACAGGAGGGGTACAGATTCCCCATCTCTGATCTAGTGTCCCCTTGAACAAAATTCCATCCTCCTAAGGCAGCAGGTCTGGCATTCCCAAGGGCAGCATGTGAAATGGGAACCACTGCTGTGCTGTCAGCCCAGCTGCAGAGGCACTGCTGCTTGGAGGGGCCAGGATAGACAGGGCAGAGTGGTGGTAAGGATGTGGGAGCACTGGGTTGGTGGCAGAAGTGGGTGAAGATGTGTGTGTCCCCCATCCTCCCTTGTGCTTCCCCCCTCCTTTCCTTCCATTCTGCCCCACCTCATCCCTGTGAGCAGAAATGCTGCTGCAGCCAGGAGGATGGTGCAGCAATGGTGCCTCATCTCATGCGCCCTGAGTGAGCATTCCTGAGCACACTCAGGCAGATAGCCTGCTGTTAGGTAGAATGAGGAAGGTGCCACAGGCAGCTGGTTTTGGGTTGTCATGGAACAGTAGCAAGTGGTTAGCTATTTAGTTAGGTGTCCCCCGTCCCCCGCCCAATTATTATTTTTATTATTGCCAGGAGAAGGAGAGACTGTTTTGTGCTTTTCTGCCTCAGGTCTCAAAATAACTTGACCAACCACGACTGGTGTATGTGTCGTATGCTGATTTGCCTCAGATAGCAAAAACACCTTGGGATAGCTCTGACAATGTACTTGCCAGTTTCTCTCAGTTTCCTCATTTTTTTCATTCTTAAGTTCAATTCTCCACTTTGAGACTGTTTGTTTGCTTGTTTTAAAGTCCTTATGGAAATTCACCAGCATTTTAGCATGGTTTCCCCCCCTAATATACACATGCTTATATGCAATTTTGCCTAATCTACACATTTTTGAAAAGCAGTCTTCCCTAATCTGATGAGTTTTTAAAAATGTTATTTTTGTGGGATATATTCAGTCTCATATAGCCAACATGCTTAACTATAATTCATGCATGAAGAGGTAAGACCATATAGTAAGATGCCCTGCTAGGCTTAGATAGGTCACACCCTCTCACCTTGGGAGAAATGGTTACCAAAATCTTTGTTCTAAGTTTTTCCACCATGTGAACCAGTAAGGATGTCTAAGTTGGATGCCCCAAGCTTAGACTGTGTGGCTTTAGCAAGCCATCTAATTTAGAAACATTTACCATTTTGAAACTAAGTTAAACAGCTTGTCTTTTTTTGCTGCTGTATGGAAAAGCATATTAATCTGACCTTTGAATAATTTGTAAGTAAACCATTTATGGTTCTATGCTAAGGGAAGTGGGAATTTTTGAAAGCAACTTAGAAGGGGATGTTTTAAAGGTCTAACAGCCTATATTTCCATGCTTTCTATTGCTGCTTGTTTTGTGATTTTAAATCTCTACAGAGGCTCTTTCACCAAAAAATACTTGCCCCAAACCTGGATCTAGGCACCCAGGGATTTTTTCCTTTTATTATACCACTGCTATTTCCCTTTTACCAAAACCAAACATTTTCACAAATATATGCATTTTTATGCACCCTTTACATCAAGTTATGTAGTTTTGCACACATTACTTGGCTGGGTAACTGTGTTCCAAATTTGGAATGATGGCCGTGTTTTGTTTCTGAAAGTGCAGATTAGCTAGGTTCACCTTGAAATGCAAACTGAATTGAATTTCTCCTCCATCCCTACATCAGTTTGCATCTGCATGCCAAATTATTATGGGGCCTGGTTTTCCTTCACAAGCCTCTTCCCTTGCTGCACATCTTACAGGGCTTTTAGACTGAATCTGTCAAGTGAGAGGGCATTCACTCTCCTATTCCAAAGAAGAACTTAGAAATAGGATTTTGTAAGCTCTCTCTCTCTTTTTACCTAGCCAAGCCATGCTGCTTTCGTATTATCTGCCTTTTAATCTCACCTCCTCAATTCTAATTCAATTAGATCCTGACAGCTAGCAGATGACATAACTTCTATTTAATTAGCACTCCACCCCACAACGTCCTGTTCATCAATATTTCTCTCACACAGACATGGCTTCTTACAGTTTTCCCTGATGATTCTTTCCATGGTTAGATACAAAGAGCATCTTGCTGACACCACATCCATCAGGGAGGAAAACAGAGACAACAAGAAGAGCCGAAATGAGATCTCACACAAATGGGATTGCAATTTTGTGATTTGATGGAGTGGGGGAAAATCTGGTACAGGTCAGGAGACAGGGCCACAGGGGGAAGTATGGGTGAGAGCCAAGGCCCACAGTTGCCAATTGCCACATCACCACACTGCTCTGCTACTGTCACCCACATTGTACCAGTGGGACAAGAGGCTAGTTTCTACACACCCTCACACACCCCTCTGCACCATTTATCCAGAGGCATTACCGGAGGACACATTCCAGCCAGGCAAAAACACTCCGGGTGTGAAGCAGGGGGCCATGACATGGCATGCAGGGCTGAGATCAACAGTGCTGTGCCCCAGTACAGTGGGTAGCTACAGTGGTATATATGTAGGCCCACTGGGTTGGTAGGAAATTGCCCAGAGGCCTAGTTGCCAGTTGTGAGGGGGGTGGATGGAGAAGGAAAGATGCCTTCCCTCCCCTTTCACATGTGTGAATCGCACACTCACGTGAAACTGGCAGAAGTTGTTTATGGAATCTATGCATGTGCCTCGTTTAAAGGACCTAAATTGTTTTTGCTGAGGTACCAAAGTGCACATCAAGCGGTGAGAAGTTACAAGGAGCGGGTGAGGGGGTGGCCAGGCACTGTGGTAGGCCACAAAGGCATGGCTAGTGGGTTACATTTAGCTTCGTAGGACACAAATGGGGGAGGCCTGATTTTTTTAGAAAGTATGAACATAGAGCAGTGCTATTTTTCTAGGAAAAGAGGTGCCGGAACTCACCATGAACACCTCCTTTGTTCTCTTAGAATGGCAATGGTGCCCACCTGAGAGGTGCCGGAACTGAGTCCCCCCAAGTTCCTGACATAGAGACACTGGAAGGCACAGAGCTGTCTAGCCAGTTCGAAGCTGCAGCTTCGGCTCATGGTAAATGAGTTGGGCTAATCCATTGATTACCAGCAGGGAGTGAAGATCAGTGGTTTAGGCAGCGAGTCTGTGTGCAAAGTGCCAAATTCAGTGGCTGTTTATACACCTAAGTCGGGGGACATTGCTGAGGGAAGGGAAGTGGGGTCAGAATTTTGCTCCTGCTTTCTAGCAACTGTCTCATAAGCAAGCAAGCAATTAGACAAAAAACCTTAGCCAAACGGAATCTTCCTCCCAGGTTGTTGTTATTGTTCTTAATTACCTCCCCTTCACCCTAAGATCCCAGGGCAGATTACAACCTTAAAACACAATACTGAAAACAGTAATAAGCTGGCTCCTGAAAATATACACCTCAAGTGTCAGAAGTCAGGGTAAATATGTGTGTCTTCCGTAATCAGAAGCTGTATAATTAAGGTGGTAGATGCACATCTATGATATTTGCAACCTTAGGCCCAACATCATAGCAGCCCAGCACAGCTGTGGGGAACCTTTGGTCCTCCAGATACTGCTCAACTACAATTCCCATCAGCCCCAGCATGTATCCAATGATCAGGGCTGATGGGAGTTATAGTTCAGCAACACCTGAAGGGCCAAAGGTTCCACACACCTAGTCTAGTGCTTAGAAGTCTGCTCCAGTAATCCCGATTCTATATTTTGCATTGGTCTTCAAACTACAAGAAATATTCCAACCTGAGTTTTGCTGTCGCACAGAAAGTCTCTGACCCACTTGACCTGACTGGCAGCCGTGAGAGTTTTCTTGTAGGCATAAATTTGCATTTCTGCTATACTATTTTCAGTAAAACTAGCCTTTTTACAATGTTTATCTGTGCCCATGAAGCACACCACAGTCGCTTGGTCAGTAGCTGTGGCCTGCCTGCCCTTATGCTCACTCTTTGTAGCAACTGGAGCATATTGTCAATTGATATATGCCTGAAGACTGACCTCTGCAGACCTAGGAGGAGGCAGCTGTCCTGTTTCTCAGGCTGAAAGTAGCCTGGGCTGATTGGAGCCATTGCTAGTTGTCCCCCTAAGTGAGTTATTTTGCAAGCGTTGTTTGCAGTCCTGCCATTAAAATTCATTGAACTACAAAAATCAATTACTCTGGGACATTTCATAGATTATAAACATGAATGATGATATCTTCATAATTAATGATTATAAGAGAGCAGCTTTAATAGTTTTCTTCCTTGTGGTTGGCTTGATTCCTAATCTACAATGGTTGCTGCTGGTGAAATGCAAAAGGTAAATTGGGTTGTCTTACTACTACCCTTGGGGCATCTAGCTGGGGACTGCAATTTCAATCCTCTAATATTGTTTTTCACTTTTTGTGCCCATTTTCCCAGTAAGGCAGGGATAGGGAATCTCTGGCCCTCTAGATGTTGCTGGAATACAACTCCTGTCAGCTCTGTCCAGCATGGTCAATGGTCAGGGATGATAGAAACTGTAGTCCAACAATATCTGGAGGACCTCAGGATCCCTATCCCTGCAGTAAGGATGTGAAATGCATATGTAGCAATGTTCATGGCTCAAAGACATTGAAAGAAAATGGAGGTCCCATTAAGGTAGAATATAGTATGTGTTTTGTGCCAGAAAGTCCCAAACATTTATTGTTTTGTTGTTTAGTTGTTTAGTCGTGTCCGACTCTTCGTGACCCCATGGACCAGAGCATGCCAGGCACTCCTGCCTTCCACTGCCTCCCGCAGTTTGGTCAAACTCATGCTGGTAGCTTCGAGAACACTGTCCAACCATCTTGTCCTCTGTCGTCCCCTTCTCCTTGTGCCCTCAATCTTTTCCAACATCAGGGTCTTTTCCAGGGAGTCTTCTCTTCTCACGAGGTGGCCGAGGTATTGGAGCCTCAGCTTCAGGATCTGTCCTTCCAGTGAGCACTCAGGGCTGATTTCCTTAAGAATGGATAGGTTTGATCTTCTTGCAGTCCATGGGACTCTCAAGAGTCTCCTCCAGCACCATAATTCAAAAGCATCAATTCTTCGGCAATCAGCCTTCTTTATGGTCCAGCTCTCCCTTCCATACATCACTACTGGGAAAACCATAGCTTTAACTATACGGACCTTTGACGGCAAGGTGATGTCCCTGCTTTTTAAGATGCTGTCTAGGTTTGTCATTGCTTCTGGCGGAAATGACTGGCAGAATCCGAGACCAGGGAGAAGAGTCGGTGGAAGAAGATTGGAAGAAATTTAAAGACTATTTACAGAAATACTGCAAAATTAATGAATGTTAGAATGATGTCAGAATGAAGTTAAGTGGTTTTAGCAGCAATGTTATAAAGGTGTATGTAAAAATGGATTGTTAACAGGTGAGAATCTAAAGCTATAATATATTAAGTTAAAGGATTAAGATAAAAACAAAGAGGGAAAGGAATTGCTGAATTAATTAACTGAACTGGAATACAAAAAAGGGAGGCGTGAGGAGGTCAGGGAAACAAGTAAATGGAATGTAAGATATGGAAAGATTGATTTGTTTTTTAAGTCTCTTTTATTTTTTCTGTATTTTGTATTTTTTCTTTTCTCTATTTTTCTTTTTCTTATATGTGTAACCTTTTTTTGGACACCTTAATAAATATCATTAAAAAAATAAAAAAAGGTTTGTCATTGCTTTTCTCCCAAGAAGCAGGCGTCTTTTAATTTCGTGACTGCTGTCACCATTTGCAGTGATCATGGAGCCCAAGAAAGTAAAATTTCTCACTGCCTCCATTTCTTCCCCTTCTATTTGCCAGGAGGTGATGGGACCAGTGGCCATGATCTTAGTTTTTTTGATGTTGAACTTCAGACCATATTTTGCACTCTCCTCTTTCACCCTTATTAAAAGGTTCTTTAATTCCTCCTCACTTTCTGCCATCAAGATTGTGTCATCTGCATATCTGAGGTTGTTGATATTTCTTCCGGCAATATAAAACACTTATACTGGACCTCTAAGGCCCCACATTTAGGCTTGTAACAAGAAGTTTACACTTCCCAGGCAAAGGCTATAGCTTAGAAGCATGGAAGCCTAGATTCTTGCAGATGACATCTTCAAATCTCACTCATGATGCAGTGGGAGCAGCAGACAGACGCAGAAGAAACATGCAAATTGGGCAAATTGCACACTCACCTGTCTGCAGGATTGCTGCTGCCCCACAATATAGTGTTTGAATCATGCTGTTGGTGCTCTGAATCAAAATGTCTGAGCTGGTGAATGTGAGTGAATGTCTTAAAGTTTTTCAGTGGTGCTCCATACCTATCATCCTCCATCCACCTTCACAGCTGCCCACTCCTGTTAAGTAACAGTCATATCAGTGGATCGAACATTATTTTCAGCAGAAGGGGGAAATAATAGATGCTGGCATTTTTAATAGAAAGGATTACTTTTTGGTTTTGGAGATCCTCTGGAATTTCATGACTGCTGTGTGCAAAACCATAGCTCAATGCACACGTAGTGCATGTTTTCTGTGCAGAAGATGCAATGTTAAATCTATGGCAGCTCTGGTTAAAAGATTCAATCTGCACTTAATGGGAAAGATCACTGCCTGGGGCTTTAGAAAATCACTGCTAATCATTAGACACTACTGCACTAGATGCACAAATAATTTAGACCTGGTATAAGGAAAGATTGCCATGTTCCAAAACCAAGATTTCTTCCTTAACTTGAGCATGTTCATGTATTTGGGCTAGGCATTAACTAGTAAATGTTCCCTGAGGCTCTGAATGGAGCCCTCTACCTAAACTATGCCTTTTAAAAATTATTTATCATTTGTGTTGCACTCTTCACTGAATATTTTTTTTAATCTTCTTTGTTTAGCCTTGCAATAGCTCTGTGGAAAAGGTTAAGAGATAATACTTTGCCCAAGGCACAAGGCCAAAGAGTGAACTGCATAACTGATTGAGTAGAGTTCTGCATTTACCCCTCTCGACTCTATAGCTCTCAAAGAAGCCAGCTTTTCCAAAGAAATAGCAGCTCAGAAAGGGAATTGGAGATTTTTTTCAAAATGGACGTGATATCTTGGCTATGTCCTGGGGAGGTGTTGGGTGTCCACAGAATGTCACATTTTATTTCCATCGCCTGTCCACAGAGTGTCACTTTGCAACTAGACACGCAGGACTTGACTGCCTATGACAAAATGACATTTTAAGTGAGATCATTGCTAATTGCAGCTGTAGCCGTCAATAAGATTAAAATCCCAAACTCAGGGAGAAGAAAAGGCGAGCCCGTTAATTCATTTTGTACAATGTTTGCAAACTGTCACATCAATAACGCATAATAAGAAAAGCCTGCCCTGAAGTAGTAGGCTCAGTGCACACACAACACAATGAGCCACTATATGGCCCCCTTGCCATTACCAGTGGCACATTTATTATCATAAAGAGCGGAAAAACAAACTTCCTGGATGAAAAACAAGATCAATTTGTACTCAAGCCACTATGTTGGATTCTAAGTGCTGTAATTAAAGTGAAGGGCAGATGTTCCTCAAAAGCAATGGCAGACAAAAGCAACGGCAGACATATAGCCATAATGAGGATGTTCTTGCAAGGCTGGCTGTGCAGCCCAACAGCATCGCCATCACTTCTTATTCGTGTGCGGTTTGGACTCTTGGTTCCCCTTTAGGCAGAGAGACAAAGGAGCCAGGTGGCAGATGCTGCTGCAGGGGATTAACAAGTGTGCTTCATCCAGCACCGCCCCATCCATGAGGCAAGATTAGGTGACTGCCTCAGGCAGCAGGATCCACAGGGGCAGCAGATCTGTTCTGTACTCCCAATCTCTTTTCTTTGTTTGTAATCTCAATCTTGATTCCCCCTTCTGTCTGCAGCTGTTATTGGTGTGTGTATGTGAGTGGGTGGATGAGAACAGGACAATGTGCATTATGTATAGTCATCCATTTAATGTCATGTTAAATTTGACCCTAAACCACTAGAGGCAAAATC